GACGCAGACCCAGCGAGGCCCTACCACTCACAGCACGCGGGCGGGCGGTCCTGGAACCCAGAGGCTGTGCTCCCCGTGAAGACACCGAGTTTCCCGCAGAGATTGGTGGCTGGCCGGCAAGCTGTGGCCTCCCCCGCGGCACAGGCTCCAGGGCCCAACCACTGCCCTCTGAGCCGGCCAAGCAGCAGGAGCCACCCGCGGGCACCGCGAGGTTTGAGTAAGAGACAAAGTACAAAAACAAATTCTGAAGGGGAGGAAAAGGCCTTCTTGGTCCATCTTTCTAAAACCAAAATACAGAAGTGAAATAAAGATACGAAGAGCTGCTGTATTTACTGCAGCGCCCAGCATCAGGCTGGGTGGGGGCGGTCACATCCCCCCTCACCCCCACCCCCTGGGGCAGAGGCTCAGAGAGGTGCACTGACTTAGCCCCAGGCACACAGCCCATTCAATTGCGGGTGAAGGTAGGGTCAGGACAGAGTCCCAAGTCTAACTCTGCTACCACAGAAAACACCCGATGCCTCCCAACACCCACATCACCCCAACTCCAGACCAGAACACTCCAGGCACTCTGCGGTGTCAGGAGAGTGGCCCGATCTGGGCATGGTGAGGACACCACTGCGAAAGATGGCCTGCTGGCACCCTGGCCAGGCAGACCCCTCCCTCGGCGCCAAGCAGAGCCAGCTCCATCCAGAACTTTTAAAGACGGCCGGCCTGTGCCTGCTGACCTGGGCAGGAGCCAGTGCACATGCCCGCGCACCACTCAGGCAGCCGCACGTCCTGTACCTGTGCGCCGGCAGGCCTCTCTCTGTCCCACAGAACTCTAGTCGCACCATCACACAGGTGGGCCAGTTTTCTGAGTGCTGGCCCAAACCAAAGCCAGTCACTGTCAGCTGGAGCAGAGCAGCTGAAGGCTGCATGTGTAGCTGCCAGAAGAGGAACTGCTGTGCAGCTGAGAACCATGTCCTCCAGCCGCCCTCAGATGGCTGGCGGCCTGGAGCCCACACACTGGAGACAAGCCCTAGCCCGGGGCGGCAGGTGCTGTGGGTGGGCTGGCTCAGGCCCGGAAGCTAGCAGGCGCCCGAGGTGAGAACCCCAGCATTCACTGAGAGCACGCACTGTCCTGGGGGGCAGGGCAGGTCACCTCCAGCTAGCGAGGGGCCCAAGCATCGGCTCAGATCCCCAGGTAACCACGTGGTCAGAGCCAAGAACATGCTGGGAGCCACACCCTCAAACTAAGGGTGGAATGAAGCGCCAGAGTCTCAGGGCACCCACTCAGGGCCTCAGGCAGGCGACCCGGGATGCTCGTAGGTGTTTGGGAATTTAGTCTTTTCACCTCTGAGTTACATAGAACATAATCTGCTGCTTCCACTCTAAGCAGTCCCCACTTCTCCTGCCAAGTGGCTTGAAAGATTGTACTTCCACCTGCACCCCCCTCACCTAGACCTGCTGGTAGAATTCCTTCCACGATCCTTCCAATCCCGAGACACCTGCCAATACCCAGCACACTGCAGAGGGCACAGGCGGGCAAAGAGCTGCAAGAATGAGCTGTCAGAAGCCCCACGACAGCCCGACCCCTCAATGACCCGTCTGGCACCAGGGCATCTGCATCTTGAATCCTGTCAAAGGACAAATGCTCATGAAACCCCAAGTTCTCCCCAGGCCTGGCTGAGCTGTAGTGACTGAGCTCCCCTCAAATCCTGTTTAATCTGAGGGGTTTCCAACCACTGAAGACTAGTGTTTCCTGTTCCCCTGTAACTCCTAAAGCATCACGACAACTCTAACCTGTTTCCAGCAACTCGCTGATGGGCCAGTGCCACGGAGTACAGAGAAATGACACAAGTGAATCACACGGCAAGTATTCACAAAGCACTTCCGGGAAGTATTGCACCTGACCTGCCCCTAAGGGAATGTGGGAGAGAAAAATGACCCAGGCAGCCAACGAGTAGATGCTCAATTAATGACGCAGACAACAATGCTGCCCAAGGAAGCCCCAGGGGCGATCGAGCAAGATTCACACCTGGGCTGCCCATGAAGAGCACCTCACAGCAGCCACAGGCCGGGTCAGACCTTGAGAGAAGAGAGTGAGGTTTGAAGGTTCAGGGCGTGGTGGGCAGTGGGTCTCAGGCTCACCAGGCCCACCAGGCTCAGTCCTGAGACAGGGAACATGGACATGGGGGAAGGGAGACCAGTCGCAGACCAACTCCCCACCCTCCTTAACAACCTGTTCGTCGACTTTCTAAAAAGCACTCCTCCAGAAAATATCCTATAATGCCACCTCTCCCACACGGCTTCACAGACCAAGCGCCCCACCAGACATTTCTGCATTTAATAGCAAGCTCCAGGGGCTCTCCCAGTGAAGTCCAAACCCATCAGGTGCCTGAAAGGTTCTGGGTCTTTAATTTCTTAGAACTCCTCCCCCTTAAATCTCCCCACCCCAACCCCTATTCAAGCAGCCTTTTCTGTAGGCCATAAACTTGCTCCATAAACACTAGTCAAATGCAGAGAGAAACCTTTCAGCAGGCAGGGGCTTATGTCCAGCATCAGGAATGTCTGCCAGGTATGCTTCTATTAATCTTAACTATGAGGTTAGGACTTGGAGAGTTTTACGCGTGAATCAACATCCTGTTCCCTGTCCATCATGTAATTACTGGTGCCCCACGGCCTCAAACACCCCTTCCCCTCCACCCTCACCTCAGCTTCCTCGCTCAGGATCTAATTATCCAGGAAGGCATCTCCAGGACGTTCTTTCATCAGTCTCTGAGGAGACTATCTTAAACGTTTTCTCATGTGAGGTATAACACCACTACTGTGGCTAATGTGAGTTAGCATTACTCTTTCTGGCAAATCCACATTATCTGTGACTAAAACTAATGCTTATTTACTGTCAACTATTTAATGAGGCAGAACCTGTATCTACTGCATTACCTTCATGTTCTAAATTCTGGTTTAAAATTTGAACATCAAATATGGATGATAATTTTAAAAAGGAACTACAACACAGATACATTCTGATAGATTAATCACCGTCCCCCAAAGGACTCCTTTTACAGGAAAACATAATTTTTTAAGTAGTCTTGAGACAGAAAAGGGCTGAATCGGCCGACCTAACTGCAAGCTGTAATCGGCTCTGAATTGTTTTAGTGCTGAATAGACAGCCACTGCCTCAAAACCCAATAGACAAGTGCAATTTAAAATCTGACTCAATACACAAAACAGGAAAAGTCAAGCAGAAATGCAAGCAAATGGCCAGTAAACACACTGCTGAAAGAAAGAGAACAGTGAAAGATACACCCACTCTATAAAAGGACTATCACAGCTAACAAAAGCCTATTTCTATTCTGGAGCAGACTGTCACTTTCCGGGAGGTCAGTTCTGCAGGAGTAGAGCGTTTCGTCAAATGGGCAATGGAAACACCTCGGGGTTGAGAGGAGGTCAGGAGCACTGGCATCTTGAAACCGGATTTCTACCTAGGACGGGTGGTTTCGTGGTAACTCCTAAGTTCTCATTTCCTCATCTTAAGGTCAGGCCACACTGAGGATGATCCCTGTCAGGCTTCTTTAACTTCCAGAGGGATCTGAATCTTTCTTGTAAGTCATGTCCGGAAAATGTTGGCTGCCAACGCACAAACCCGAGTCCAATTATGTAGGTTCAACTGAAAGACCCAGGAAAGTTAGAATAAGACTTGTGGACTGCCTCGGATAAATACAGATAACAACAATATTCTTCCAATAGACCATTTTCTGAGGTTCAATCCCATACAGCTCAGCTCCCAAGATACTCTTCCTCACAAGTCTTGTAAAGGTAATGAAAGAGCTTTTATTACCATCTGCACAAGAGAACGAGCATTTAATCTGATGAAACACAAACTGCAAACCAACCTGGAAATTTTTCTCCTTTTGAGAAGGCAGTTGGAAAACTAGGTTAATAAGCAGATGTAAAAAAAATTTCCTACCTGGCCTTTCCCTGACACCCCTAAGCCACCCATTAATATGATAAACATTCCCCTTGAAGAATCATTCTGTGGACGGCACCTTCTAAGAGTGCTGGGCAGGTGGATGGAGCGCCAACTCTAAATGCAAGTCACTGAGAAAGCCAGGCCACCCGTGTCTATCCTCCACCCCCACGCCAACGGTAAGTCAAACGTCTGGAACGTGAGAAGATGAAGTACGCCAGGGTTCTCCGATTCCAGGGCCAGTTAAGTACACTGGACGGAGGTGCTCACACGCCGGGGACAAAAGAATCTAGGGAGGAAAAGAAATTAGATCCAAAGCAAAGTCCGGGTCTAGGAAACCTCCTCCCCCGACAAGCAGAGAGGGTGAGAGACGCCCCAGGGTGGAGTGGCTGGGTACCCTCAAGGGAAGTGGGCGCCAGGGCGCATCCGCTCCTTCCCCGGCCCGGAACGGGAGTCGGCGGCGCAGCCCGGACCGTCCCGGCTGGCCCGCTCGGCCCTCACCTTGTCCGAGTCCAGGTCGGGGTCGGCCTGGCACAAACGGTACAGGAAGGATTTCGGGTCCCGGCACAGCGTCTGCCGGGTGGTGAGGAAGTAGGTGCCGCCGACGTTGAGCCGGACCCACTTGGACACGCTGCCGGGGCGCTGGGCCAGAGCGCCGGGACCCGCGCTGCAGCGGCGGCACAGGCCGCCCCCCAGCCCCGCCCCGAGGCCGCCTGGAGCCGGCGGCGGCAGCTCGCAGTGATTCTCCGCCATGATCCCAGCAAACCCCAGCACAGCTTCCCTCCACCGGAAGCGTCCGGCCTTTAATACCGTCCTCCGAGACCTGTACCACCCACGGATCCACCCTCGTAAGGCGCCCACCTCGGCGTCACGAGGCGGAAGTTCCGGTCCAGAAAAGCGGCCGGCCGTACCCCCTTCCGGCCGGAGCCGGACCGAGTGGCGCGCGGTGCAAACGCTCAGTTCCCCGACTAACCCAGGTCGTGCCCGCGCGCCCGCCCGCGCTCGCCGCGCGCCCCCGGCCAAAGGAAGAGCTCTGCCAGCGAGCGTCTACACTCTACATGCTTTTTTTATTACAAGACTAACCGAGCATAACGTGGAAAATTCATCATCTGGTAACTACATCTAAAGCACAAATATTTGAAAAAAAGAAGATTCATTAAATTATATGATTAAATCATCGACCAAATAGAAAATTTATATAATAAAGCCAGAAAAAAAGTTGTAAAATATAGTTTACAATAATTATTCACATTCAAGGCTGTACATCAATACATACAACAGTGTGGCCCCGAGCATGAATTCAATCCAAATAATTCATATATTAGATTTTAAATAACACAGACTGAACTAGAGGCCAACAATAACCTTATATAAGAATAAAAATACAAAAGTGTATATATCCTATTATCATTGCATTATTTGTTTTCATAAGTTTTTTTAATTTTTGTTTTGCCTGTACATCACAGTTACAGCTACAGACCAGGTAGAGATTACACGTTCTGACTGCCACCAACCTGAAAGACAGCTAACACACTGTTGATTCATCCTATTTCATGTTAAGGAACAGCTACAGCAGCTCTAAATATTGCAAACTTTAATTTTGTCAACCTCCAAACAAATAAGATCGTGATAGGGGCTTTTCACCAGCTAAATGACCCCTATTCATAGTCATTCAGCCAGATGGGTTACGGTGGATCACACAGCTAAAAAAGGTTTGCCTTTTGTAAAAAGGTTCTTGTACATAAAGTTTGGTGCTTCTTCATATTGAAGAAATGAGTTATGGGGAAAATTCAGGTATATACATGGGTTCATCCAGTTGCTCACCACAGCTGTCTGAGCTACAGAGAAAACTGCTCTTTGCTGGAACAGCCTCCTCTTCAGACCAGTTCTCCACAGGCAGGCTGATTTATAACCCTGCAACCTTGGGCCAGCAGCCTGCACCCCTCAGAGCCTTCTGGGAGTGACTCCTGCCCTGATTTAACTAAGGCACTTGCCATGCAGGCTGCCTAAGAGACAAGGGCCACACCCATTTGAGTCATCATCAGTTCATATTAGGTTTGGATATGAAAAGAAACAATATGGAAAAACGTGTATGGCAACATCTCCAAGAATACTACCTTCCCCGTGCTCAGAGCAGCTGCGGCCTCTGCATCTGGGCAGTGAGTGCCCTCCATCTGTAGGCCTGCCAGGGGAGAGGGGGAGAGGGGGTCAGAGCAAGGCAGGAGACCTAATTCTGCACAATTCAGCTGTAATCTCTGTCAAAGTGGCATTGAGCATGATGACACCTAGAAAAATCTCTCATGCACAGTGCCCCTCAGAATGAACAAACATCAAAGTGAGGTGGAAAAATTAAGAATGAAACTAAATTTGGATGGTCTCAACTTGAAGACAAGCAGGCAACCTGCAACACTGGGCAAGGAGAAGGGAGACTTCCTCAAATCTCTACCAGCCAGGACAGTGCAATCTACAATGAAAAAGCCTGGCTGTCGTGCTCTACTGAACCACTCAGGTCTGTGGACCGAGTCCCTCCATTTGAAGAGCGGGGAGACAAACACAATTCTGTAAAACCCAATTGTCTATGTGGTTTCTTTCTCAAGTAAGCCTTTGCTCTTTCACTGATTCCAAATGGCCCAGTGTACTTTCTGAGTCTATAAGCTTAATTATAAATCATCCACTAAGCATGTGGCAAGGTCAGTTCAACACTTTTTATCTCTGCTGACTGCACAGATGCAAATTCAGTACCATTGTGGACACAAAGTACAAGATTCTGAAACTATCACCAAGCACTTGAAAGCCATAGCAGCAGGGATGGGAAGGTAACTAACATGCAAACATAACCAGGTTCTTTCAGTGAAAATAAGGAAATTGGCTTTTGTTAAAATATCTGAAAAGCAGACTGCAGTAAATGACGTCATTTTAGCATTAAAAAAAAAAGCGGTCTTATTCAAACACTCTTTGGAACACACAGCTCACCAGAAATTGATTTGTTCAGAATCTGTAGGACACAACTAGGGAGGTTCTGTTCTCAGAACTCTGAGCATTTAAGCATCAGATTAAGACAGGAAGAGGGACCCGATACCACCTTTTAAAATGAACTCTGTGACTCAAAAATACCACTTCCAGGAACTGGGGGGGGGGGGGGTAGGGCAGGAAATCAGTCAAAAACCAGATTTATAAAGCCATTCCTAACAGCATTATTTAAATAGTGAAAAATCAGAAACCATCTAAACGTTTACAACAGGGAAATTGTCAAATAACGATGGAATCTATAACCATTAAATTCTACAATCATAAAAACAATGCTTTTGAATCACTGTTCAAGACTGGGGAAATGCTTAAATTATAAAGTGAAAAGGGCTGGATGCAAAATAGTGTATGTGTGTGTTCCCAGTTTAATCAAAAATGCAAACTAACGTGAGCATGGGAGGACATAGGCCGCACACCAAAATGGCCACAAGTGGTCTCCTCTGGGCAGCGAGCCTACAGTGGATCTTCAGAAAACAACTGTTTTAAGAAGTCACAGATCGCCTGGAACCCCCTGTGCTGACACCCTGCCCTGAGGCCATCTCCTGCAATTCTTTCAGGCCTGGGCCGCCAAACCAGAGTGGCCCAAAGGCTGGAGCAGGCGTGGGTCCCACCAGCTTCGGCATGACAAGAGCCACCTTTCCCAAAGCAAGTCAGCAACAAGCCTCCTGAGAGTCGAGGTTAAGAATGCCAGCACGCTGTAGGGCCACTTGGGGGGTGGGCTTTGTGCTCCACACAGGGATGTCCACTGCCCACCAAACACTGACTGCCTGCTCTGGTCCACAGAAAGAGGGAAGGAAACAACCCCACCCAAACCCAGCTTCTTCCCATCCCAGGGGCCCTCTGACCTTTGGCTGTCCTCGCCACACTGGTCTTGATGTGGTACTTACGCCTGCCCTTGCTCTCCCTCCATAAAACACCGGCTCCTGGATCTAGTAGACCACGGGGCACTTTCCTTCAGGACAAATACACACTTACATTTCTATGTAGGTACACAGACCAACACCCACATCCCCATCCCAGAACGTCAAGGCACCTGCAGGCCTGGATGAGGGCTCTAAGGATGAGCAGGATAAAACTAAAGTCAACATGAGTAAATACAGGTAAGAATATGTGTGGGCATAAAAAAAAAAATGGGGAAAGAGGACACTGAGTGAGCTGAGAAGGTGGCCTAAGGACTCCACGGTCACATGCTCAGGCCAGGCAGCACTTCAGCTCTGCCAGCTCATCTTAGCTCAACCGTGAACCCCTTATTCTCTGGTTTCAGAGGTTAAGATGGAGCTTGACGGTTAAGCCCAGGAGGTAGCGGCGCCATCTATCCAGAGGGAAGAATGCAACAGAAGATTCTTTTCCCCGAGCAGCCCTGCGGGTGCTGCATTTGTTTCCGGTTAGAGACACTCAGGGTGCTGCTGGATGCCGGGGGGTGGCGTGGGGGAGACACACACCTGTGGAGGTAAGCCCATGATGGGGATCCTGAAAGAGGGCCCTGTGGGCCACCCTTTTAGAAAAGCATATGAGCACAGGCACGTCTTTCAATAGCACACAGGGAAGAGGGAGCTTGACACGTGGCCACAAGCCCAGGACAGCGCTCTGCTCCGAAGTGCCCTGAGGGCGGGCACACCGACACCGCAGCACCGTGACACAGACGCACACACACATGCACACCTGCTCTCGTGCTGCTCTCAGAGCCACGGAACCAGCAGTGAACCTGGCCACCACCCACCATCTCTGCTCCCATCCAAACCTGCCAATGCCAAGCAGGGTGACTCCCCCACACCCATCCATGTTCTTTTCCAGTTTGAGAGCCACTCTTATCACTAAAACAACTGGAGAAAGACATCCTTCCTCTTAATTTGGATCACTGGTCACACGAGATGACAGTGGCTCATTCCAGGTAGGAGGGGGCAGGGAGTAGTTAGCCAGGGGAAGTCTTCTCGGTGGGAGCCCATTGCTGGTGTCTTAGTGAAAGTCTAAAGGAAACGGGGACAGAGACCTGCCTGTGAGCAGCCCGCTCCTCTTCCACCTGGGACAACCTTGTAGGGTAAGGACAGGCAGGACCTTGGCAGGCCTACAGGAGAGCAGCAAAGAAAAGCAGAGGCTGGGCGTGGCCTGGGCCACCTGTGTGGACAGCAACACTGCTAGACCAAAGGAGGCCTGAAGCTGGGGGAAGCATGGTGCTGGCGCACCTCAGGCAAAGGGAGTAGTTTTTTCCAGGAAAAGGCCGCTCAGTGGGGACCACATGACCTGGCAGCAGGAGCAGCCTCTTAGATTTTCACTGGAGAGTTGTAAAGATGCTGAATGAGGCCAGGAGGGCATCCCAGTAAACCATGGAAGGGCACAGTGCCACCTGCGTTTGTGTACTGCCCCCTGCCAACAGTGCCACCAGGAGGCTCGCAGTCCCTCCGTCACCAGCTGGGGAGGCCTGCATGTGCCATGGGTCACACATGCTCCAGGAGGGAGCCCAAGAGCTCACTCCTTCATGTGGAGGCCACCAGGCCCAGTCAGCCCTGCTGCACTTGGGGGCCAGCTGGGCCCACCTGGACAGTGCTCCCCCAGGCTCGGGCTTGGTTTCTGGCCCTGGAGGGCAGCACCACTCAGAGGGGTGGTAGCTGTGCTGGCACCCTTCGACTTCAGAGGCTCGATACTTCCCCGACAGTCTGCCCTACGCCTTACCACTTGGAGCCCACCTGGCAGACACACAGCTAGGAACACAGAAACCTAACGAGGTGGCAACCAGGGGGCCTGCAAGAGCTCAGGGGGCGGGCCGTAAAGTAGGGACAAAGAAAAGGAGCACATGGACAAAAGCCCAGACCTTCCCACCCTGTGGAGACAGGACGCCACGCCTGACCAGAGTTCTGCACAGCTCTGGTGAAGAATTCCATGATCACCTCAGGGCAGAAAAACCCCAGAGACATGACCCAACCCCTTGGCCCCAACAGGACCACAGGCGACTAGGTTGCACGGTGGAGAGCTGGTGACGCAGTCTGTCCACTAGGCTGGGTGGGAGTGAGGCGGACGTGCACAGCACTGGGTCCCATGGCAAGGAGGGCGTAGCAACACCTCCACAGAGCACAGAGAGCAAGCAAAGCAACCCTGAATTCCTTTTCGTTATCGGTTTTGTTCTTTGTGTGGTTGGGGTTTTTTTTCTTCTTTTCTTTAAATAAAAAAGCTGCAAGGTTCCGCTGTCTGCGTCCCCCTTGAGATGGATGGCAGGTGGTCTGGAAGCATCCCGGTGGCCACGAGCCACACTGGGGCACGTGTCCTGGCAGCTAGTACAGTGGCCACGGTGTGTCACTGCACGGCAGCCCCCGGGGGGCTCTGGTATCTGTGCCTCCACACTTCCTGGATCTTTTTGCACCACTTGTGAGCATTCCCGCTCGGGTCCATCAGGTAATACGTCCTGTTCGGCTGCAGAGACAGAAACCGTTTAATGTTCTCGAGGGAGGCCCATTAAGAAGAGCACCTCAACCTGAGGGCGAGAGGTCATGAGGAGGTCACCAACCTCCTGCCGCCACTGCAGGTGCCTTCCAGGTGCACCTGGACTTTCCCCTTCCGCAGAGATTAATCTGCACTGATGACCGGCAGACCCCCGGGTCATCCCTAAACTGAAAAACAAGGACCGAGCTGTGAACACGGGGCCCCCAGGACATGGGAAAGAGGGAGGCGACTGCCCTGACCCAGCTGCTCCCTCAGCCACAGCACCCAGAGGCGCTGGGCAGAGGAACAAAGGCCTCCAACTGTGAAGGAGGAGCCACAGAGACAAACTCACCGTGTGGACAAAGAAGGTTTTAAAATTCTTAGCCTCTGGTCGGAGTTCTTGTGACCATGGGATTTCACCTTTCAGGACTTTGTTGACAGGATCCACATAATATAAGTGCGGCCCTTCTGTGAGCAGTAACTGTCGTCGTCGAGCAAATAAACCCTGAGGTAGAAAAAAAAAAGACCCTGCTTGTCAAAGCTCAGAAATGGGTGCTGATGACACCCACTGCTGCCTCAGGGACTGGGCCTTCAGAGCAGCTCAGGGCACAGGGCCCACCGCCAGCTACCTGTCTCACTTGGACAAGGCAGCAGGTGCACCCCCTCCCCGAGGTGAACCCAGCCTTGGGACAGTGAGAAACAGGAAGCATTTCCTGCCTGTCTTTCCTTGGTGAGCTGGGTGCCAGCGCCCCTTCTGGGCATCTCTGCTTAGACGGCCTCGTGGGTAGTAGCCACAGAGTAGTTGTACCCAAGGCCGGCCACTGCCCGGGCCCTCTGCTCCACACTGAGGCGTGAGGCTCTGCATCGGCTGGTCACACCTTACCCACTTTCACAGAGGGTCTCACCCACTGAGGACATGGCAGGGTGGGGGAGGCTGCCATGGCTAGATGGAGGCCAGGGGTGTCAGCAGATGGAAAACATCAGCAAAGTCTGGTATTTCTGGACACAACTAATGCATTAAAACATAAACAGTTTTTGAAACCAATTCCAATGAAGTAATAGACGACTTGCTGGGATACCACACAGAGCTTCCCTGACCCAGTAGCAACCTCGACATGGGCAAGCCCCCTGGCAAGGGGCAGTCAGACTCCGGCTGCCCAGTCAGAGACAAGAGGGTTACTGCCGTTCTACCACAGCCCACCTGCGGTTTCAAACAGCCTTTTCCCTGAGCGGCTGAGATCGTCCTTAGCTACTGAATCTAAATGTGACAGCTAAAAGGGAACGGAGACGCAAGACACTTTGTGCGACCGCAGCCACAGGCGCCTGGAGGAAGACGTGGACACATGTGTACAAGCAGCTGGAATCAGACTTACCTTTCGCTTATCTACTGGACCCATTTTTAGTATTAAATTATTTTCTACAAACTGGTGCCTATAAAAAGAAGAGACCAAGAATGAGACACTCACATGAGTCAGAGAGAAACTCTACAAACTCCTCCCTTCCAAACAGACTTCCCGATGGCATCCTTGACTTCGGCATTAATCAAGTCTCTCCCATCACAGATCCACGCTCACTTCAGTAATATGAGAAACCTCCAAACCTAAGTCAGCATATCAATCTGTATGTGGACTGCAGTTTAGGGACACCAGAAACACTGCCCATTGTCACCTCTTGCTTGGCAACATTCACCCAACAGAGGAGCGATACAGGGGAGATGGTGCTGCTGACCTGGGCCCGTAGCTAAACTGGGGCAAGATGCAGATCCCATTAAGTGGGTGAGGGCCACTGGACTGCTGCTCTAAGTTACCTCCCCAAGCCAGGACCCCCGATTCAGGGCACAGAAACCACTGAGCAGCTTAGAATCACAAGCCCCTAAGACTGAAGCTGGACTTACTTTAAGAACATCTTGCCTGTAGTTTCTACCATAGTTAATAAAGGACTTTTATTCAAAAATGGCAGGAATTTTTTTTTGGTATTATTAATGTACAATTACATAAGCAACATTGTGGTTACTAGATTCCCCCCCCATTATCAAGTCTCCACCACATACCCCATTACAGTCACTGTCCATCAGTGTAGTAGGATGCTGTGGAGTCACTACTTGTCTTCTCTGTGCTGTACTGCCTTCCCCGTGCCCCCACGTTATGTGTGCTAATCGTAATGCCCCATATTCCCCTTCTCCCTACTTTTCACCACTCCCTCTCCCAGTCCCTCTCCCTTTGGTAACTGTTAGTCCATTCGTGGGTTCTGTGGTTCTGCTGCTGTTTTGTTCTTTCAGTTTTTGCTTTGTTCTTATACTCCATAGATGAGTGAAATCATTTGGTACTTGTCTTTCTCCACCTGGCTTATTTCACTGAGCATAATGTCCTGCAGCTCCATCCATGTGGTTGCAAATGGTAGGATTTGTTTTCTTCTTATGGCTGAATAATATTCCATTGTGTATATGTACCACATCCTCTTTATCCATTCATCTACTGATGGACACTTAGGTTGCTTCCATTTCTTGCTTATTGTAAATAGTGCTGTGATAAACATAGGGGTGCACATGTCTTTTTGAATCTGAGAAGTTGTTTTCTTTGGGCAAATTCCTAGGAGTGGAATTCCCGGGTCAAATGGTATTTCTATTTTGAGCTTTTTGAGGAACCTCCATATTGCTTTCCACAATGGTTGAACTAGTTACATTCCCACCAGCAGTGTAGGAGGGTTCCCCTTTTTCCTCATCCTCACCAGCATTTGTTGTTCCTGGTCTTTTCTATGTTGGCCATCCTAACTGCTGTGAGGTGATAGCTCATTGTGGTTTTAATTTGCATTTCCCTGATAATAAGTGATGTGGAGCATCTTTTTATGTGCCTGTTGGCCATCTGAATTTCTTCTTTGGAAGATTGTCTGTTCATATCCTCTGCCCATATTTTAATAGGGTTCTTTGCTTTTTGGTTGTTGAGGTATGTGAGTTCTTTATATATTTTGGATGTTAACCCCTTGTTAGATATGTCATTTACAAATATATTCTCCCATAAAAAATGGCAGACATTTCAAAGAGAAAGTTTCAAATACAGATTTTGATTTAATACACATTATTAGCAATTATATTTAACTTTGATTCACAGGAGTTTAAAAGAGGATATTGTAATGTCTGTAGGTTGTCTCCGGTTAAAACTAACAAATTACTGGTTTAGGTTCTGTGTGATTTTATTTAAATTCCTGATTTGAAATTCTATTACGAAAACACAATGTTTTATATTTGAAAGAGACACAGGACCTTCGTCACCTCAAACAGAACGATTTCCCCACGAAAGTGTCTGACTTTATCTGCTCACTCCCCTAGCCCCTCGCAGGACCCAGTGCCTGTGCAGCACAGCTGGCCAGGCTGTGGAACCACGTTCTCCCAGCAAGTTGAACCGGCCCCAGGGTCTGTCCAGTCTAACCTAACCAGACCAACACCCATTCCACATAGCCCACTAGGCTTGCCCCTGAGGCCGCCTTGCCAGGCTAGCCCCAAGTAAACTGAGGCAGCATCATGTGGATTTTGAAAGCAACTGAGAAGAATTCTAATAGAAAGAGTTGTGACCTGCATGAGGAAAAGTGTAACACTTCCCTCTCAGAAGTATTTAAAACCAAACAAAATCAAGACTCAAAACAAAGAGGAAAATATCAAGAAGCTTTTTGAAAAGGACATATAATGAGGATCCATCTGCTGTAGCACAGAAATATGTGGATAAAACAATGGAGCCCAACAAAAAGGCTCTTTTAACCTACAGGCCCTACTGCATAGGAACTTAATGTGTCATAAAGAATCACACATTATTAGTACGGGGAAGACTTTAAATTATATGAAGGTCGGGGATTTGAAGATCCAGCCTGGTAAAAGATCTCAACCCCAAGCCCTTCAGTTGGCGGGACTGCTGGGGCACCAAGCTGCTGGCACCAGGTCACCACGGAAGCCTGGCAGACAAGCGAGGAGAGCAGGCCTTACAGCATCTTTGCAGCATCCAGGTGGATTAAAACAAAAGACAGTTTAAAATATTCAAACAAAAGAACTAAAGGAAAAAGTGGGGTATTGGTCAAGCCTAGGTGGGAGGGGTTACTTTCTAAGCTGAAAACAGAACAAGTCACCAAATTCAGAGTAACAGACACGTCTCACATGACAGACATGTGAGAATAGAAGACCCTCCGGCCACAAAATAACCCACCACTACCAAGGGAACAGGCTGGAAAAGGGTTCCTGCAAAAACGACCCACAGGGAGTCAGCACGGATGCTCCACAGAGCCCATACAAAGTGGCATAAAAGGCTGAAAACCTCAACAGAAAACCGAGCAAAGGCTACAAACTAGAAATCCCCAGAAGACAAAGACAAAGTAAGTGGTCCCTAACATACAGAAATGAAATCAAGCCCTGCTCTTCACAGGTGCTGAGGCAAACTGGTGTGCAGTTGCGCCACATGGGGGCAGAGGCCTTCTTGCTAGGCACCAGTGACCCTGAAATCAAGACTGGCTGGAACAGCAGCTTGGAAATAATCTGCTGAGAAGCAATCCCATTCCCAAAAATCTATGCTAAGGAAGAAAGGAAAATGAAGACAAGGGCACAAATGCTCAAGGCAGTGTTGTGGGTACAAGTGAACTGAAGCCTGGTGATGGCTCAGCACCACAGGAAGCAGCAAGCCCTTCCTCAGCTCTGCAGAGGCCCCCAACCTATGGGCACACACTTGCAGCACCCAGCCCGGCCTCTCCCTGCCCCTCTGAGGAGACGCGGAGTTACTGGAGTCCCAGAGGGTGAAAAGCCAAAGCTGGCTCCTGAGTGGAGCTGGTGGCTGGGGTGAAAGGAATGAGGGAGGCAGGATGCAGAGGGGTGGCCAGAGAGGGACAGAGCTCCACTATTACCATAAACCCTACATTGCCCACTGTCCCAACGGAACCCCCCACCCCCACCACACACCTTTTTCTCTCTGGCAGGTGGTAGATGCCGGGTGCAGATTCAGAGCTGAATCCAGACCCAGGTCAGAGACATGCCTAACTCCCAGCGTGCAGTCGGGACAGGACGGGGCCTTCGCAGGCCTCGCTGTCACACACAGCCTTCCGGCTCCCGACTTGCCCACAGTCATTTCCCAAGGGCGACAGTATGACACCCCTGCTTCCTGTCCTCAAAGCCAGGGCTCTCTCCTCACCTTTCCTCAGCCACCCAGACCTCAAGGAGACCATTTTCAAGGATGCAGGCCTGAGGCCACCAGCAAGCATGACCACTTCAGGGCGCAGCTGTCCCTGGGAGAGCCCCGCTGCAGCTCCTCCGACAGCCACAGGAGGGCCCTCCACACTTGGCTGCTGAGGGGGACCCAGTGGTCACAGAGGTCTGCTCCAAATGGCCCACTCCCAACCTTCAGGTCCTGGGGTCCTTGTACAATGCTAAGGTTTATGGACGAACCCAAAGCAGCTTTCCTTTATTTAGGTTCTAGCCATCAATACCTATAATGAAAAATTAAAACTGAGACATTTTCAAGTATTTGATTCATTAAAAATAACTCATTACATAATAATAAAAATAACGTTTTTATTTAAAAAATAACTTGTGTCCAAAACAAAGATAATTAACAAGAACCATAAAACTACTGTACATTTTGCAAGTCTCTTTAGTATCTGGCCCCAGACACAGAAGCTGGATTGCCCTCTGCCTCTGCCGAGCACATCTGCTGTGACATGTTGTCCAGGCTTAAGTATAGAGAATTCAGCCTCATTCAGGTAAGTAGGTGGAAAAGGGAGGAGTATTTTAATAGCCTTTTCAGGTATCTGTGGGCATTGCTTCTCTGAAGCGAAACTTGGCAAATAAAGCTTCTTAAATAGTTGCCACGTGGAATCTGAATCCCCGGCGCTGACGTTTTCACACTCTGTGGCTTCAAACCCACTGACCACTTGCACTCTGAATAGGTCTTCTACCCTTACGTGATTCTGTAGGGCCACACACAGGTCACTGGGGTAACAGTGGTCCTCTCAGTTATGGAGACCTTCCACGTGTTGACAAGTTTCATTCTATATCAACAAATCAATTCATTAACATCACCCGCCATCTCTTGAAAAAAGTCTGTAAGTATGGGGAAGGTGTCAAGCTCACAGTGATGGATATAGTTTCCCAAAATTCTAATACTTACTTCAAGTGATTGTGTCACTGGTAACAAATACTGGCAGTTCTCCTTGGAAGTGGCAGGCTCATTCTGCTCATTTCCCTAAAAAGTGTCAACCACACAGCCAAGTCTAGATAGTCTTGGGTCACCCATCCGGCGTGGCTGTGGAAATGGCTCACCGTGGAAGAGCACAGCCACTCCTTACCACACAAACCATCACACGGCGCTTCTCTCGAGGTGCTGTCATGCTTGGGCTGGAAGAAGAACCTTCGGTGCCTTGCCATCTCTGTATACAGAATGCTAATATCTCATGCTTTTCATAACTACTCGTGAGACTGGCTTTTCTCTCCTGATTCCTTGGGAGCATGTGGCCGTGAAGAAGTCAGGTCTTCTGGCCCCCCGCTTGGTGTGGCGGCCTGGACTCATGACCTGGTGCTGACGGTATTGGGTGGTAACTGCTTCCGCAGCATCGTGCACATGCCAATACACTTGTTCCAGAACCATGAGCGTCAAAAGGTAGGTGGCATCGCCAGTGCAGTGCATCTGTGCCAGCCCCCTAGTGCTTAGGTCACAGAGCATCTTACCTAGCGGGAAGATGGGGTTGGCACCAGATGAACCAAAGCATGTCCTAAAAGCCAAGGCAAGGCTTGCTTCTGTCCTATTTTTGTTTCACATTTGCAGTTCCCCCCAGTCTCTCTGGAGTGGATTCCTCCTGTCCACAAGTCAGGGAACTCTCTTCTTTTCATGGTCTTCAGACATGACTGGTGTGGCTTGAGAAGGCAGGTTTTCTCCCTCTTTAAGTCAGTGACTTAAACACGACAAACGTAAGTGTTCTTTTAGAATAAATACATCATGGAGCCTAAGTCACAGTTCCAGATAAAATTTAGATAAACTTTAAGGAGGTCTTTAAATATTATTGCAGAACAAGTCAACAAGGTGTACTTCCTGCTGCATTTCCATGCAGGTATGAGGAAAACTTGAGGATTTCAAACAGTATTTACTGGATGACAGGTAGTTTCAGTAGCTACAGCATATATAACTGGAGATGTGTGTTAAGAGCCCAGCAGAAACACTGAGAATTTATTAATCCCTAAAAACGTGCGTATTTATACCGTAAACCTACTTCTTTAGAAGACTGAATAAAAAAACACATTTCATTAGTGGTCAAAGCAGGCCATCTCCTACAGCAGTGCGTCCCCACACTGCATGTCTGCAGAGAGTCAGAGCGAGGAAGGCAAATGCCGCCTGGTGTCATCACAACACTACCAGCGCGGTCTGTGGGCCACACACTGAGAACCACTGTGCTGAAGCGCTGAGTGCCTCCTGGACCGCTTGCTGGCCAGGTAAGGGCTGCCTCGAGCTCTCTGCAGGCACCAGCCTCCAATGGGCCTGAATCAGGAGGACAGGGAGAGCACCTGGACAGCTGGGAACACAGGTAGGCAGGCAGGCAGGAGGCTGCCTGTGCTGCCGCCAGCAGCTCTGTCCTGCCCAGCAGCAGTCTGCAGAACCTAGGCCACTCGGGCCTGTGTCAACACCCTGGGCAGGGGCATGCGGGGCCACAGCGGAGTCACCCATGTTCCTGCAACAGAGCTCTGCTCCCAGCCAGGCCCGTTGGGAGGACTCCGGAGGCCCTTCTTAGGGATGCCAGTGCAGACCTGCTTGGAGCAGGTGGCCCAACTGTTCTGTTCAGAGCCCCCTCTGTCCTCCTAAGTACCACCACTTGAGGAACCGTAAGCCCCAAAGTGTAGACTACTGCGGCTGGCCAACACCCACTGGCTCCCTCTACCTAGAGACAACGATCTAATGGTACAGAATCCAAGTCTCACCCAGGTGCTCTGCTTCCCGAGCCCATCCGCTCCACACCCGCCGTCCCCCACACAGCCCCGCCTACAGCCCCTGGGTTCTCCCTCTTGCCTAGCCAGGCCCCGGTCCCTGCCCTGCTTTCTCCTTCCATCCCCACACACCCTACCGCAACATACCTTCCCAAAGCACACTGTCCACCCCCACCTGGCCTGGGGTCCCACTCTACCCGTGTGAAAGGCAAAACCAGACAAATGTGTGAAGACTGTCAGAGTCGAGAGGCTCTTTTTCAAATGACCAAGATGGAAAACAACAAAAGCCTGGGCAGGTTTGGCTGAAAGAATTTGCAACTTCCATACAAAAACATGTACTGACTGAAGAAATAAACTGAAGAAACCTGTTTGCAAAATACACAGGAGAAATATTGTTCATGTCTGTAGCTCTTAAAAGTTAATTTTAAGAAGATGCAAAACATACAAGAAAAAAAATAGCCAAAGGACACAAAGTATCTTGAAAAATAAATATAGATGGCCAATGTACAGAGATGTAGGCCTTGATGCAAACATACGCGTACATTCACACGAGCCATTTTCAGAGCATCAGATTGCTTAAAGGCAAGCGAGAGCCCTGGGAGACGCCACCCGCACTGTGCTTGCCAAGCGCCACCTTCTCTAACGAGGGCACCCTCACTCCACCACCGCCCTAGGATTCTCCTTGAAAGGAAATATTCAGACAAGTGGGAAAGCTGTGTGCAAAGAATGATTTCCAACAGCAGAAACTCTGCTCTCACTACAGGGCAGCGGTCACGTAAACTCATGGCAAACCCACATGTGAACACATGTGCAGGGCCTGCCAAGCCCTTAGTCTAGAACCTGAGGGTTCTGGAGAGAGTGTGGGAGGCGGGAGGGGTGCACAGTCTGGACAGGTAGTGGGGACAAGAAGTCAGGGCCTAGCAATACCTCAGTTTACCACGTTCTCATGCGTTTCACTCTGCATTTCTAAACAGAGCGCTGCTTATGCCTGTAAATTCTTACCAGGGGTTTCCATTGGCCTGCTTCTCCAATAATAACCTCTTCTCATCCTCAGAAAACTGTAAGTCCAGTTCAAAAGAATTAGTGTCCAGGTCGTGGATGTACTGCTCGATGTTGCTGCCTGCCCTCTGGGGCAGCCCCGTGTCCGTGGCAGACAGGGAGTGCGAGGACGATGAGGACGACACCTGCATGCAGCCAAACTGGCTCAGGAGATTGTCATACTGCAGAGGAGAGGGGACAGTGAGAGCAGCACCTCAGCTTCCCTTTGGGGCCAAGGACATGGCACGCTCTGACCTACTTCACACCTAGCATTCCTGGAGGGCAGGGGGCACAGCGTGACCTCTGCCTCTCCTCCACTGCTCGGCTGGGCGCTGGACCGAGGCAGGGCTGGATGTGCCCAGGTTTGGGCCCCTTCCAATGGGAAAGTGAGAAGGTGCTTGTCCCTGAGAGGGGCTGACCCTCGGTCTTCCTCTCCAGGAAGGGAAGGCTTAGGACCTGGGGCCTGCTCACTTCTGCAAGTCCCTGTGCTGCCCCAAACTAGAGGAGGGGTCGGTTGGGACCCCCACTGGGAAAAGGAGGGCTGGGTTACCCATGGCCCCAGAAGACCCACCCACCAGGTGCAGAGGCTCAGGTGCCTCCCTCCTCTGGCTCTCCTAGATGGCTTACCTCTGTGGACTTATGTTTCTGAGTCAGTGGTTACTACATATTCCAACTTGATTATGTTCAATTTTTAAAAACACATTCCTTTAAATTTTAGCAAAGATTAAGCTTGACTGATTATAATAGACTAGTCGCCTCCTACTTGGAAGAAAGCTACAAACCAGCAGTGACACCAAAAATGGAATCACTCCCCATGTGCACTCATAGTCCTGGGGCCACTGACCAGACCACAAAGCAGCCAGCAAAGACCTGGGACAGAGAGATCACCCTGGGCAGCCCGCCCCCCACAGCCACAGGCCCATATCCAAGCCCCACTGAGGTGAGGAAAAGGGTGCCACCCAGAATGGCCGGGACCACAGTACAACATACTCGTCCAAGTCCCCGTACTCAGAAGGGCCCTGGCTGACAGCCACAGGTCAGCCCGCTCGTGCAGACCCTGCAGCCTTCTCTCACACAGTGCTGGCAGCAGCCCCAGCCCTGCCTCACTGGCTGCCGCCTCCCAAGGGAGTGACCCAGGACACTCCCACAGCCCATCCTCCAGACTCAGGCCTCGTTCTGGAGCATTCTCCACTCCGTCTGTGAGCACTCCCCTGGCCAAGGCTTCCACAAGCCCCCAGGTGTCTCAATGAACCTGTGAAGCCAGTAGGACGGTGTTACCGTTATCCTAATTTCTGAAAAGGGGAAACTGAGGCTCAGAACTGGCCCAAGATCAGCTGGTCAAATTCAGAAGTGGTCCTCTGTGGCTTTCCAACGTGGCAGGTCCCACTGGGGGCCTGCCCGTCACAGGGGTTCCTCCTCACTCCCCCTGTGGAGGCTGCTCTCTCCTTCTCCCAGTGGCGCCCAGCAGGCCTGCAGCACAAATTCAGGCAGGTGTGCTGGGCTGTGGAGGGGAGCTCCCTGGCACAGCAAGCAAACAGCCAGCTGTGCTGGTCCAGAGCTGAGCCTCTCCAGCAAGTGCCATCCCAGCACTGCTCACAAGGACTCCAACGGCATGTGTCACCATCAGCCATAGGCAGGGGACTGGGCACACGAAGAGAGTCAAGGGCCTGTTCTCTTCATCCCCCAGATGCACATTTCCCAGCTCCTTTCCCTCAGAGGGAAGCCCCTTTCCTGCCAAAAAGGACACTGGACTCTCCTGGGGATTCTAAGATGAGACTGTCCCTGCCCTGATTCAGCATCAACACTGGCAGGAAGGGAGCGCCTCCAAAGGCAGGGCTCCTCTGTATGTGACCCCTTTCCAGGTCAGAGTCTTTTCCAAGGCTCGCCAAGCTGCCCAAATGTTAAGTCTGGTGAAGGAGCTTGGCCTGAAAACTTCACAAAGCTTTCAGACCACAGCTTTTAAAGCTGAGGATGAACCATCCAACAAACAGTAAGCTGTCAACGCATGGAGCCAGCTTTAGGCTGGTAACACATGCATACTGAGAAGGTGGGTTCTCAAGCAGCGAATGTGATCAGACAGCAGCCAGAGACTGCTGCATGTGCTACAAGACAGTGCACGTGCAAGGACGCACACACACGCACAGGCACGTGAAGTCGAGCTCCCAAGCACTGAGATCTGAGACAGCCAGGGTACATGCGGCTCCTTCAGAGCTCGGCCAGCAGAGCCCACTGTACCCCTGGGCACCCCTGCCAAGGGCCCTGGAAGACCCCAAACTATTCCCACTGGCCGTGTCTTGGGAAAGGCATCAGGGCCGATGATCTGGCCAGCATCTAGGGCCGGGGAAGGAGTCCCGGGACTCAGTCTTCCACAGCCTGTGCACACGGAGGCTGCGATGGCCCAAAGCCACCAGGGGGCTGAGCAGGTCAGTGGTGAGCACAGATGGCTCTCCACATATGGCTCCCTTCAAGTTTGTACACAAAATATATTTTAGGACCAAAGAAAGGGGGCTGTGTTGTTTAAAACGGTGGGTAGGAGACACAGGGAATTCTTGGTCTTCAAAAGGTGATAACAGTAATTTTAACTTAGCTTTGGATGACTTTCAGAATGTAGATGCCCCCAGTCAACTGAAGCAGTGCTCTATACACAGTAACTACTTAGAACAAGCCACAACAACAGAAATCAAACCAGAAAACTGGACTTCCAATGACAATGGAACACTTGAATCATATTCAAATAAGGGGCGGCAGAGGGGATGAGGAGGTGATGACTAGAGGTGGGGGATGGGTGCACAGGAGCCCACTGGGCTCCTCTGTCTACTTCTGCATGTTTCACATATTCCAGAAGAGAAGTTTAAGGAACAAAGTGTACTAAGACCCTATGCTTGAGGTCAAGCTGGTGACTGTAGCTTCCCACAGATGCAAGGTGCTATGCCCCTTGGACCTGGGCCATAGCCTCGCCTTGCCCAGCCATGAAAAACTGAGCAACCAGTGTCCATCCTTAATGTCATGTCTCCAGAAAGCTCAAAGCAGCAGCGCCCTGGGCTCCTTTTGGCAAAATCAGAAGCATTCCAGAATGTCTTTAGATACACCACTGTAACAGCACCAGCCAAAAGCAGAAGATGGAAGCCTGCCAGGAGCCTCTGCCCCAGGGAGCCCGAGCAGAAAGGCAGAGGGTGCTGCTCCCACAGGCTCCGGCTCCTCCACCCAACATCTGGCTCTGGTTCCATCCCTTTGGGTGGAAATTAACTAGAGGAATGAGAAAAGGGGGCACGCCCACTCTAGAGCCTCCCAGCCGGCCATCTGCCCCCCAGTCCCAAGGACTCAAACTCAGGGCTGCAAAGCGTTTGACCACCGAACAGACCTAACGTGGGCTCCCCCTTCAGCCACTCACTCTGTGAATGGGAGCCCCATGGCCTGTGGGCACCAGCTCCCCGTGCACAGACAGCCCTTCGTGCCCAGTGTGCTGAGCAGGGCTCATCCTTGCATGTCACCCTGACGAGGAGCTGGCTTACATTTCCATAGCAGTCTTCGTCATCTTCCGACATGGCTGGTAAGTAGGCAGTGAGCTTGGGCGGCGTCTGATGGCGCAGGTCCTCCCATGTGATGGACTCGAAGAATGGGTGGGCCTTCAGAGGGGCATACCCTTCCATTTCTTCACAGCCCAAACGTTTTGTGGCATCTAAAACCTGGAAGAAAAGTCAAGGCAAGTCAGTGTCAGAGCTAAAAGTAATCTGATGAGAAAATACCTTCTGAGTGGTTCACTTCTCTGTGTCTCCTGGGACTGGAGGGGCACTGACCCTGGTGGCTGGCAGGGGTGCGAGTCACCCTCCTGGATGGCATTCTCATCCCTCAAGCTTCTGCCCCTTCCTTCCCCCAAGTGAAATGAACCACAATCTCAAAACAAATGAACAGCAGCAGCAAGTATTCTTTTAAGATACACAGTTAAAACTCCTACAAGAAAAAACTGAACTTACTGGCTTGAATGCCAAAGAGAAAGAAGACTCGTCTGGACGTAATTGTCAAAGGCAGGAGTAGCACGCCCTCATCTCAGAGGGCCCTGCGGCCATCTCCCGAGGATGCAGACACACAGAAGATCAGGGGCCCTCCGTAACAGAGGGGACAGACAGGAAGAAGCATCACCCTGCTCCCCCAAGATCGAGTTAAGGGAAGGTCTAGAGCCAAGAGCACACAGAGGCAGGACACTGAGTTTCTAGAACCTTTCCTGGGTAAATCTGCTCACCTCTGCTATACTCCCTGGGCTCATCTTTAAAGCCTTCATGGAGCTGACTCCGATGACACACAGATGTCACCAAACATTCACAGTGTCTGCGCTGTGATACACCCAGCTGCTCCAGCATCAGGGGACTTAAATGCTGGGTATGCTGGTGAGCAAATGCAAAATGACGCAGGGATTTCCTGTGACTAAGGTCAAGAATAGGGCATGTGGAAACTGAAAAGAGCTTATAATGAAATGAGACGGAGATACAAATCAATCCACAATCACATCAGCCCCGAGACACCCTTTTATGAAACACAGGCAACTCCAAGAAAGGCCCTCTTAGGTTGTGCCTACCGGATCACCTTACCAGAGGGAAGGAAAAATATTTACCAGAAGTTTTTCCACAAGGTCTCTTGCCTTAGGGAAGAATTTTTCAGGGAAGTCATATTCCAGCTTAATAATCTTCTGAAATATAAGATATTCGTTCCTGTAAAGTAAGAAAAACCATCATTCCAGGCAGGGTCACACAACCTCCCCAGGACAGAGCTGTGGGACCATGGTCTCCCTCCCCCTACAGAGCCGCCCACCTTGTCCTCCAAAGAATCATCACAGAAGCCCCCCGCCTGGGCCCAGTGCCTGGGCTGCTGCGATGGGCTCGGAGGCGGGGGTGCCTTACCCGGCTCGGAATGGCGGCAGGCCTGCCACAAGCTGGTAGACGATGCATCCAAGGGCCCAGAGGTCTGAACTTTAAAGGAGGGAAACAAGGGTTCATGACATTTGTGAAATTTCATTGATAAGCACAGCAATTTCCACTCACAAAGCAAGCTTTCTTTTTCCCTCCATGGACTTGCTGTGCAAAGCGCTGGCCTCCTTCATAAACATGGTAAGTATACAGTTTAAAAGAAATACACTGCAGTTCAAAATCTCCCTGAGTCCTATCCAGAACCAGCTGGCGGGGAGCTGGGGGTGCTCCCTCCCCTCACCCCTGATGTCACCTCTGCGTCCCAGCCTGCTCGCTTTCACTCACTCTCCCGGAGAGCCACCTCAGAGCCGCCATGGCTCTGCAGACACCACTCCTCTGCGAGTCTGGTGCTCTATCCCCAGCTCAGCCCCATGAGGCCTCAAGATGCAATTGCTCCCTGCCAGCCACTTGGCCCTCAATGTATCCAGGGCCCCTGGGTTGCTGGACACAGTTTCTGCAAGAGGCCACAGGTGGGCATGCTAGAAGACGAAAATGTGGGGAAGGGTGGCAACAAGGGGCCAGGTGCCGTGCAGGGGCTGAGGGTGAAGGCTACGCCCCCACACCCGTCTTCCTACTGCAGCCTGAAGTAGACAAGGCACGTGATGTGGGTTAACAACCAACAGGTCAGAAAACTGGTCAGGACATGAAAATGAGTAAAGAGCATTTAGAAATGAACCTACATCCTCCTCAATAACTACCGTTTAGTCTCACTAAAATGGGGGCCACACGAGGCCAGAGCGAAGGGCCGGAGCCTCGGCCAGGGCTGCTCCCACCGCTCTTATGGGTCGCCTCCGGGAGCGGCATGCCAGCAGGGCCAGCTTTTGAGCTAAATTTTCACCCCTGTGAATTTCCTGAATGTTTTACCATCAGTAGGAATCTTACCATTCAAAACATTTTCTAATTTGATAAACGGTAGAGGGAAGCCAGTGTAACATTTGTGCAAAGCTGTATAGAAAGGATTTTTTTAAATGCTCATTTAGACCAGGTCATTCCACATGAAATCCAAGCAGAGGGGCGTGAGGCAGCCCTGGTGCCACAGGGCGGACACCGCCGTCCCCACCAGGCATGTGGGAGCACCCCCATTCCCACAGCACGGGATGTGCAGCACACAGCAGGCACACCAGGCTGTGTAAAAAAAAAAAAAAAGAAAGAAAACCACTCTAATACCCAGCAGTAAAGGCAGAGTGCAGAGAACTACATAAATTCACATGCTGGAGACCACATGGTTGCTGAAGATGCCTGCAAATGATCTGAGTGACATGGGAAGAGCTCATTATGTAATTGCAAAGAGCAGGTTCAGAACTGGCTATTCAGTAGGATTCTGGTAATATAAAAAAATACGTAAACACATATAAAACACGTGGCCAAAAGTAACTGGAAAGACAGGCTGAATCATTATCTGTGATGGTAAGTGGGCTGGAAAACTGAGTGGTTTTTGTTCTTTTAGTCTCCATATTCCCTAAGAATTCTTTATAATTAGCTACGTATCACTTTTAGAAGCAGGACAAAAATCCGCAACTGTTCCTGAATCAATACCCCAGGATGGAAACCTCAGCAGCACAAGATGAACAGTTATGTGCCCCTCACACCCGCGCCTCCAGCCCAGCTAGCGCCTCCCACTCCCTGTTGCATCTTCCATGCATGGATAGGTGGACTTGAGGAGCCCCTCCCCTCCCTTTTCACACAAGGTGGCGACCCTGTGTCCTCCTTAGCTGGCCCAGTAGGGCCCAGAGGCCTACCTCATTGGTGCTGAGAGTTGCCCCATCCTACAAGGAAACCCCAAAGCCAGGAAAAGCTAGTTCTCGGGCAACAGGGACATATACTCTGAGGATCTGGCCAACCGCATGCACCACCAGAAGGTTTCTCAGCCTGGCATTGAGAACGCCCAAGACCCCTCACCCCCACTGGGGGCATCTCTGCCCTGCAAGGCACTGGGAAGCATCTGGGCCTCCACCCGCTAGACGCCAACAGCACTGCTGCCACCCCTGCCAACCTGTGACCTCCAAACTGTGTCAGGACATGTCCCTGGGGGCAGAATTGTCCCAGCTGGGAAGCCCTGACTTAAAATGATGTCTGGCCCACAGTAAGAGCTCAAAATCTATTGACTGAACAGTTGAAAAACAAGGAGCCCAAAGACCATTAAGACACCTGAGTTTAACTTTTTAGGGCATCCTTCCTCCGATCATTTTGGCCTCATGTCTCCCCTGACTGAAGGGATTTGTAAAAGCCATCGGGCCCAGAAGCCCAGAGCCACTGTCCCCAGAGCCACCTGCTGCACCACCACTGCTGACAGTCGCCCCATCACTCCAGGAGGCAGCCCTGTGCAGCCCAGCAGCACAGGCCCTGACCATGTGGCCCTGGCAACTTCAGGGAGGGCACCAGGGGGCTGAGCATCTGGCCTGTCCAGGGCAGGAAGAATCCATGAACAACTCAACCTCAGAAGCTGCTGCCATCTGGAACCATTTCCCAAAGTCTGAAACCCCAAAGCTACTGCTACCTCCCCATCTTCTACCTGCCTCATGCCCACCTGGAACAGCCAGGCTCCCCACCCACCACGATGTCTCTCCTGGCCACTGGCACCCACCTGCCTTTCTTCCCCTGCCCTGCTGCCAACCCTTCTCCCCACTCCACACTTCTGTGCTTGTGAACACTTCAGCTCCTGGGTCCTCTGACCTGTTCCTGCGCTTCTAACTCCCAAGCCGGGACCCCACCAAGGCCTTTGACCCTGTGGCTACCACCAGGCCTGTGCCGGGTCTAAGCACTGGCCAGGGCTGGCTGAGCTGGCAGGGTGCTTGCTGGGACACTGGCTCCATCCCCTCCCACACACGCTGCCATCGGGGGCCTCTTCCTGCACCCCAAAGAGCCCATTAACACTACACAGTTGGTCTGCAGCTGCTGCCAGCCACCACCAGGCACTGGAGCCAGGGGCAGCATCAAGGGTCCTGGGGCTCCAGGACACAGCAGGTGACACAGACCTGTCAGCCACCCTCTCCCCACTGAGCAGCTGTTCCTAAGGGAATAAGAGCCAGTCTCCAAGCATAAAGCAGCCACTGCCCCGGGAGGAACACTGTGATAGTAGGGGGCACATGCGACAAGAGGAAAGCTCTGCTTAAGGCCGTGAAAGGCACTCTCCTAACTAGAACCTCACATGAAAATGTACTAACTCCTGTAGAGAGAAGAGGATTATGGATCAGAGGAAAGCAGGTTACCTTTTACAGGCCGATTTCTCTGTGAGCAGCTCTGGAGAAACATACTGGGCTGTTCCTACAAACGAGTTGGCCCTGGCTGATGAGAAGAGGCAAAAGGGAAGAGGTCACACTGAGACACCAAGTGCTTACAATCGGGGGCACTGTGGTCACCGATCCCTGATCAGGGTGCTACGGTTCACATGGGTGTCAACTGGAGCTTTCTGTCAGCACAGCACTGTCCCCCCGAATCCAGAGCATACACTCCTGAGAGCCTGCCTTGCCCAAGGCCCTCCCCATGCATCCCCTTCCTGGACCCTCTCCTCCAAGGGCTGGCTCATAGGTCACCTGCTTAGTGACACCTACCCTGATCACCAGGGCAGCCCTACCACTTGTCTACCTGGCGCCTCTCACCAACACCTGGAGGCACACTCACCCACAGCCCTGTCAGCATCCTGAGGACAGAGGTCTTGTCTGTCAAGTTCACTGTTGCACCTGTGGTGCCTGAAACAGCCCCAGACCCTCAGCAAGCTCACACGGAGGCACCAGACAGCCCCGCAGCCCAGAATTCTCCAGCCCCGGATGTCTCCAGGGGCTCCTCAGAGAACCCCTGGGCAGTCTGATGGGACAGTGCTCCCACAGGTGGAGCACCTGCCCTCCAGAGACAGCTCAGCTCTGGGAAGTCCTAGAGGAGGGAAGCTGTGGAAGGGACATGGCTGAAGTCCTTCTGTCTTTCCTTCTCAAACCCGATCCCTGCTACCAGGTGAGGGGAGGCGCACTTCTCTTCCTGTGCTGACTGAGGGCTCTGTACTTACGTCGGCTTGAACCTGCCTCAAACAAACTGACAGGTTACAGCTACTGGGGTAAAATGCGACAGGCCCATGTTCACAGTACACAGCTATGAATAACACAATAATGAATTAAAATGCAAGAGGAGCCTAGGACCCACGGCCACATACTTAGGCATCTGTTCCGGCCACGGCAGCCAGGACATCCCAGCTCACCAGCCCCGTGCTGCCCTAAGGCCGCAGGGCTCCCCGTGGGGGAGGTCCCCTGACTGCTCGCCAGAGGCCTCCAAGGAGATGCCCTGGAAGAGAACACCTGCAAGAGACGAGGCCAGTGTGCTGGCTCTTCCCCATCTGTGCCCAGGTGGGTCTCTGCTCCTCTGCCCTAGGCGATGCTGGATTCTGCAGCCCCAGAGCCAGCAAGAGCCCTCAAAGGGGGGCAAGAGAGATGGGTATTACCCCTCTCATCCCGCCAGGCCACAGCCCTGTCCCACCACAGCGGGCCCCCCAGGCAGCGGCCCTACCCACTGGCTCCCGGCCGAGGGGCCCGCAGTCCTGCGCCTGTGGGTTTCAGCCCCATTGCTCCTCTGGCCCTCTCTGTAACGGGCCCCTTGGTTAAGTTATTTTCCTGTAAAGACTCTGCGACCACATGTGTGCCCTGCCAGGACCCTGCCTGATACTGCCAAGTACACTGAGGCAATTTGTGAGAAGAAAACAACAAACTAAGAGCCAAAACCAAATGAAACTATTCGACCATGTGATGAATCAAAGAGATGCTCAAGAGAACATGATAGCCTAACAAATCAGCAAAGGCACAAAAGAAGGCAAATACAGTGTTGGCAAGGATTTGAGAAGGCAGACGCTCACAGTGCTGCTGGTGGGCAGATGAAATGGTGTGATTTTGTGGGAGCAATTCTTCCAAAAAGCATCAAAGCCGCAGAGAACAGGCTTGCCCTCTGACCCTGCAATTCCATTTCCAGCACCCGATCCCCACGGGCGATCCGGTGCAATGACCGGCGGGGGGCCTCACCACCTCCTCAGGGTTTCTGTCTTCACAGTAATATGCATTGCTTCTGGGGGGCTCTGGTTTTTCAATGATATTACTAACACGAAGTATCTGCACATGAAAACACCTGACCATCGATATTTGTTGCCTGCCTTTATAATTGAAGATGTTCCATTTCACTGAAACATTAATGAGAAGAAGAAAATGTTTCCCCTCCCGCTTCATGGATGGCGGCCTTTCTATCTGTGGCCACAGGATGAGAGCCCTGGAGGGGGCTTTACAAAAGCACAGGATGTAATCGAGTGACCTCCACCCCTCCCCCCGCACCTCAGAGATAAGCCCAAGGTCAGACTTCTCCAGCTACTGGAAAACCAGCACAGCATCCACCACTGACCAGCACTGCCCTCGCTGTGCCCCGGCCTGCTCAGCAGTGGGCCACAGAGCCAGGGCCTGGGCTGGCTGTAGTCTCCAACCTCAAAGTGATTTCAAGAGGCTGCCCAGCACCCTGAGCCATGGCCCTCTCCGGTCACCACAAACGAGTTAAGTCAGACGCTAAAGCCCTGGTGGGGAAGGAGGGACAGAGGACACCCACATTTTCTTCAAAGCAGAAAGTACAGACTGCTAGTGGACGCTCTAAACCCACAGGTGAAGCACAGCATATACACAACACAAAATGTGCTCACCTCTTGGGCAGGAGGTGAGCAAACTGAATATCCCAACATATAAAAAGGAGTACATGCGGCATGCCCATGTGTGGTCAATCCCAGGGACACAAGGGAGCGTCACTGCACAAAATCAACCAGTGTGTGCCACTGATCATTAGAATAAAGGACAAAAACCACATGATTATCTCAATAAACACAGAAAAAGCACCCAACAAAAATTCAATGCCCCTTCGTGATAAAAACACTCACCAAGCTGGGAACAGAAGGAAGCTTCCTGCACCTGCTCAAGGCATCCATGAAAACCCACAGCGAGCGTGTGAGCCAGTGGAGGACCAGCAGCTCCTCGCTCAAGATCAGGAACAAGATGAGGACACCCATTCCCACCATTTCTGTTCAACACTGTCCCGAGTCCCAGCAGGGCCATTAGGCAAGAAAATGGGATAAAGGGAAATGGGCATCCAGGTGGGAAAGGAAGAAATGAAACTGTCTCTTAATTCCACAGGACATGCTCTCGTGTGTAGGAAGTCCTGAGGAATCCACTAAAAACTATTACAATTAATAAAGTCCAACTAGGTTTGCAAGACACACAAGATCAATATATGAAAATCGACTGTTATTTCTATACATTTGCAATGAACAATCTTGAGAATAAAACTAAGAAAACAATTCCATCTACAATAGCCTCAAAAATAAAATAAAATACTGGGAATAAAACTTAACAAGCGCAAAGCTCATACACTGAAAACTATAGAAAAAATTTTAAAGCAATTTAAAAAGGTCTATAAGTAGACATGTCTACTTATGTCAAAAGATCAGAACACTTAATATTGTTAAGATGGTGAAACTCCCCAAACTGATCTATACGTTCGACACAGTCCCTATGTAAATCCCAACTGGCTTTGACTGAGCAGTGTTTTCCAGGTTCACCCATGTTGTAGCATCAGGACTTAATTCCTTTTTAAGGCTGAACAACATCCCAAGGCGCTGACAGACACCACGTTGTTTGTCCATTCATCAGCTGATGGTTGCCTGAGTTGTTTCCGCTTTTTGGCTATTACGGATAAAGCTGCCACGGGTGTAGGTGCACAGCTTTTCACATGAGCATACACTCTCAGGTCTCTTGGATATATACGTAGAAGTAGAACCGCTGAGTGATGAGGTAACTATGCTTAACCTTCTGAGGAGCTGCCAGACTGTTTTCCAAAGCGACTGTGCCACTTGACATTCCCACCCGCAGAGCATGCACGTGCTAATTCCCCACATCCTTACCAGCACTTGTTTTTACGTCTTTTTGATCATAGCCATGCTAGTGGGAGTGAAGTGGCATCTCTGTGGTTTTGATTCACATTTCCCTAATGAAATTGGGCATCTTTCTTGATTACTGGCCATTTATTTACCTTGTTTGGAGAAATGTCTACTCAGACCCTTTGCCCATTTATTAGCGGATTTTTGTTTATTTTTGGTTATGAGTTTTTTTGCATATTCTGGACACAATTCCCTCATCAGAAATATAATTTGAAAATATTTTTTCCTATTCAGTGGGTTGCTGTTTCGCTTTCTGAATGGTTCCAGAACTAGTTTTTAAACTTGACATAGTCTAATTTATCTGTTTTTTTTCTGTTGCTTTGTGCTTTTAGTCTTCTGAGAAACCACTGTCTCACCCATGGTCATGAGAGACATTTCTATGCTTTTTTTTCAGGTTACAGTTTCAGCCCCTACCTTCAGATCCAAGCTAATTCTGGTATATGGTAGGATGTGGAGTAATGATGTTCTTGACAAACTGGCGGCCATCAGTGGAGGACGCTGACGAAGCAAGTCATGGTTTCCCAAAGTGGCAAACACAGGGGAAAGAAACAAGCATTTATCCCACTTTTCCTCCATAATTGATACTGCCCATCAACCAAATAGTTGTTGAGGGGAAACTTATCTTTAAAAAATAATTCCAGCTCATGAATGAAAGAATTAGACTGTGACCCTTCAGCATTCTCTGATGAGTTAATGAACCTAGGCCATGATGGCTACAAAGGACCACGGAGATGACTGGGTGCTACAAGCTTCTTACTGAAACGCACCCCACCTCCACCTCCAGCCTTTAGTGGGTGAGGTTTGCACTTGAATGTGATCAAGTGGCTAGGTCCACCTCACAATTTACAGGGTGCACTGATGAGAAAGGGACACATTATATGACTCCACAGAGATGCAATCAGCAAATCCCAAGAAGCTCCAAGACAAATGACCTGGTTTCTTCAACAGACCAGAGGGAAAAAATAAAGATGAAAGGGAAACCATAGATTAAAAGAAATTTAAGAGGCAAATTAGCTAAGCTTAATGTTGGAACATTATCTGAATCTTGATTCAAGTAAACCACCACCAAAAAATTATGACAACTGGAAATTTAACAGTTGAGTTATGGACATAGGTTTCCAGACACAACCCCCAACTATGAGCCTCTGGGGCACCCTGAAACCCCTAAGCCTCTTGCAAAGAAGGCAAAGGCCAAGGACAGGGCCACAGATGAGGGGCCTACTCTATGTTAGCTGCCTTTACCCAGACATGTCTGTGCGACACTTGTCCAAGGTTAGAAGTCTCAAGTCCTCTATGCCAGAAAATTCTCATCAATCCCACATGTGCCCAGAGACACAGGGACCACTCTGAGCGGACAGGCGAGAGAGAGATGTGGGGCTCCCCCACTTCTGGGAGCAACCAGCTGGGACAGAGGCCCGTGGAGGCAGACCACCTGCTCCTGCTAGGAGGGAGCAAAATGCACTCGTTGCACAGCTCTGAAGCCCAGGCCTCACTGCTAACAACACTTTCCTTCTGGAACCGTTAAGGTGATTTGGGGGAACCATCGCTGCCCTAATGCAGGAGTAAATTCAAGGATTCTGAACTACATCAAACAGAAACGAGAGTAAGTCACTAAAATCAATCACTCACATAATTACACGTTTTTCCCTTTTCCTCTAAGCCCTCTAAGAAGGCGGGTGGGCAAGAGAGAACTCATCTAAGCATACAAGCAATTCTCCCTTGTTCACAATGTAAAGACTTTCAGCCTCCTGCTTCCAGAAAGAAAGGAGAGCAGGTTTATTTCACTATTTCACCAAAGATTTGAATTCTTACATTTTCTAATGACTACAGGACAACAGGAGTAGCCTGTACCGAGTATCAGATTTGAAAGGAAACTTACATGAAGGAAAAAGAGCAGTGCAGGCCTCAAGGTGACTGACTCCCAAGGCTGAATGGGGGCCCCCACAGCAGCCGGTGGCTTGTGTCAGGGGAACCGTAAGATGACAAGGGGCCTGAGAAGAACATTTGGGGACATGGCAGTTCCTGTTTGGTTCGCCTGCCACAGACAATGCTTAAGTTATGGGCTATAACACATCCTAAAGACAAGGTTACAGCAATAGCAATGAGTCAATCAGATCATCAGTTCTGGGTATCTCCCAAGCATTAGAGCCAGGGCTTTGTGCATCTCTAGGCGAGCAGGCCACCCATCCTCAGATGCGAGCAGGGGAAGGAGAGAAATGGAGCTTCAAAAGGCAGGCAATGGGCACCAGGACTTGTTGAGAAATAAAGAGCATCTTCCTGGATTGCCCATTTGTTTCAGCCCAAAAGGCTGGTACTCTGGGGTTCTCAGAAATTCCCGATTCCCAGCTGCTGGGATGGTGACCCAATGCGTGTTCACAGAGGAAAGCACTGACAGAATCTCCACAAGAACCCTCAGTGTGAAAACAAGGGCTAGAAAATGCCTGAAAAGGAAAGGGGGTCCTACGGAGGCCAGCAAGGCCCCTCCCACAGCACTGACATGCCCCTGCGCTGAAGGAGCTGCCGCCAGACAGGCTCCCAGCTAAGCCAGAGGGCTCTTCTGAAGAGCCAAGCTCCTGCCCCCACCATGCTGGGCCCGGATCCCATGGCACGAGAGTCACTGTCACTAAGTGGATGCTTCCTTCCAAATCCTTCCCCCGAACAAAGCCTGTACTCACACCCAGCACACCTGCTCCCCTACGCTCTCACCGGGGTCCTTCTCTCGTGGGTACCCACAAGCAAGAGGTGTGCACACTGCACAGAAGCCCCGAGGCAGCCTCCTGGGTCAGGGCAGCTCTGATGGTCACACTTGTCCCAAGACACAAAGTTCCCTTCCAAGGTCACTTAATAACTCACACAGTGAGCAATCTTCAGCTTCCCCAAAACCTCACAATAAAGGACTGTATTGTCTCTACCACAATACCCAAAAACAATTTTCTGAAGTTAAATTGCTATTCTTTATGCCCCCAGAGTTTATAAGTATGATTTCCATTCAATGAACACCTGAAGGGCAGCAAGCTGTCCCCCGAGATGCCCCCTGGCCAGCAAAGATACCCAGGACGCTGTCAGCAACTCCTCCTCAGGTGATGGAGCTGTCACAACACAGAAGCATGCACTAGGAGTCACCCTAAAGGACAGCGATCGGGAAGGTTTGCCATCGTAAATGCGCACTCAATGGGCAGGTAAGAACCAGCCCTGACCCGGTCTGCGATTTGGTGAGCCACTACAGTCAGCACGCCTTGGCCACCACTGGCTGCAGTGCACAGGAGATGGGAACAGAGAGAGACAGACAGTGGGATGGATACAGGGACAGCATCAACAGGAAGAGCTGGCACTGACTCCACTGGGCCCCCCCACACCTGGCCTGGGAGACCAGGAGCAAGGTGGCGCCCCACATCTCCAGGGAGGCAGCTGGGGGATGGAGCCCCAATGGGCACTTCCAGGTGCTCAGGAGGACCTGTGACTACACACAGGGCAGCTGGCCACCCAGCCCCCTGGACTCAAGGCAGTGGCCCAGCTACAGGCGGCCTAGGGGGTCCCGTCCACCCACTAGACCAGGCACATGCTGTGTGGGCCTTCCCATGAAAGCTCCACACATTTTACAGACCCCACACAGCACACGCTCTTGTCCTGAGTAATGCGTCCACGCAACCCAGCATATTTCTGAGAAGCTGTTCTGGGCTGAAGCCCTGCGTTGAGATCTGCTGGAAATGGAACACACACCTTGTTTGCTCTCTGGGGACAGTACTTTTGCTGTTCCAAAATCTGTGATCTGGATGTGCATGTCTTCGTTTAACAAAATGTTTTCTGGTTTGAGGTCCCTGTGAAAGTAGATATTTCACATTTGAGATGAAATATTTAAAACAATAACATTATTACATCTAAACTTTGCTGAAAACAAAGTGAACTGATTAATACTCTTAATATTCACAAACCAAGAATGTGAGTCTAAAATGTTCACACTGAATAAATGGCAACAGCACACAACAGGGAAATTCACACCACACCACTTCCCACTTCATAGCTGATCTGTCATTTTACAAACTTTTTATTGAACAATAAACTATCATTTTTAACCCATAAACTAAAGAGCTTTTAAACCTACTGTGGTCATGATTTCACAACACACATAAATCAACCATTACACTGTCCCCTTAAACTTAGTATTTCTCAACAAAACTGAGAAAAAATGCTTAAAATGGTAAATTTTATATTACATGTATTTTACCACAACTTTTAAAGATCAGTAAGAAAAAAAAGCTTACTTAACACCTACAGTTTGACTTTACTAAAAAGTCAAAGAAAATGAGAGCAGAAATAAGCAAACACAGAAGCTACAGGTGACAAAATAAAAGCAGAGCCAACACAGCCAAGAGAAGTGCACAGACCAGCACGGGCCCCGGCCTGGTACCTGTGAATGATGCCCTTGCCGTGCAGGTACTCCAGTGCAGACACCATCTCAGCCGTGTAAAAGCGGGTGCAAGTCTCATCAAATGAGCCAATTTTGCGAATGTATTTAAGCAGTTCTCCATTTTTGGCATAGCTAAGGCCAAAATCTAAATATCACTCAGTTAAGGAAGAGTATACAAGTCATTTTTTCAAACTAAGCTTAACACCCCAATGGGAATATTTTTAATTAATGAAAACTGAAGGAACCTGTGGCTTGAGGCAGCTGCCCCTCTTGGAGTCAGGCCCTGCATGGTCAGAGTCCCTAGCCCCAGCTCCAGGGCCCCAGCATGGGTTTCTCACCATGAATACAATGACTCACACCTCCCGACTGCCCCTTCTGGGCCCCACCAGCCCTGGGCTCAGTGAAAGGGAAGACGCCACACATAGTGGTCAGCTGCCCTAGTGCCCCTCTGCAAGGCTAAAACAGGGAAGGAGTCTACTAGAGTACAGCCTCCCACCTGCACCACACCAGGTACACATTTCCTGAGCACATGTTCCACGTGCTATGCTGAGTCAATTCATGAAAGGTTTCTCAAATCAGTGCTCTTTTCTACGTATGAAGTGACAAGTTTTATAAGACAGCTATGCCATTTTATAACCTTCTTGATTCAATCTATTTACTGGGCACCCATTTCAAGAAGCCACCACTGCAGTGTGATTTCATTTCTGTTCTTTCCTTCCAAAAAGGATTAAAGGCCATAACAATAATGGGATCCCATATAACTGCCGCCTCCTGAAAACACAGAACATCTGGGCCTAGAATGGAAATCTACAGGCACTTCGCTGCTCCCCGGCAGCCAAGGACATGGTGACCCAAGTGCTCACCCACCCCAGCACCTGGCTTGTATGCCACAGCTCTATGTCCCCCACCATGGAAGCAGCCTGAACCTCCAGCAGTGAGGATGGGCCTGGGTGGGGGAGGGACCAGCAACCAAAGCCCCCAAGCCCTTCCAACCCCCAAGCCCTTCCAACTAGGAACCTGAAGCAAAACACACACTTCCTTTGAGGGAAAGCAAGGATCTGTCCCCTCCGTGGGGAGGTCTGGTTCCCGTGACACCCCTGCCAGCAGTGCGAAGATTCATCCTCCGACCCCCAGCGGGGGTTGGGCAGGCGGCCCCTCAGGACCAGCACGTGGACCTCAGCATAGTGCCAGAGCCACAGCCACAGGCACAGCACCTCTTCTGGCCTCATGGTCTGCCCCGTATCTGACTACTCCCTGAGTCCCTGGTCCCTGCGTGAGGAAACACTTCTAGTTCTCTGCTCGGCCGGGGCACTAAGGTGACTGACGGGTTTGGAACATGCCAGATATTGAGGATCACAGCTCCAAGGCTGGGCTCTGTCTGACCTCATGTTCCTCCCCTGAGAGGTACGTTCAGACCTCACCGATGTGCCACATCCTAGAGCACATCAGCCTCCCTTGGCACAGCCAGCACCCTCGGGCAGCGAGCAGGCAGCTCTTCTCCCACAGGGCTGAGTCCGCAGTGGAGGAGCGCAGGTCAGGCCCGCAGCACAGCTGAGCCTGCAGAGCCCAATGCCCGCGCTCTGCAGGGGAGCCTCGCCCAGAAAGCTAACAGCTGACTCCAGGTCGCAAAGCCACGGAGGCACAGGACTGCAGCCCACCCTCCAGACCCAGTGCACTGCTCCTGTCCCCATGCTGGGAGAGGACAGAGGATGAGCAGGTGCAGGGTGGCAGAAGAACACAGACTAGCAGACCAACAGCCTCTCAAACCCTGCAGCCTTCATCCCCACTGGAGGGAAGGTGCCCTCGCTGCCCGGCTCCCAGTGCTGCACCGTGGGAGGGAAGGCTGGCACTCCGTAGCTTCCCCGAGCTCAGCTCCCCTCTCCTAGGCACAGAGACTGAGTCTGGTTGAGCTGAACCTCCAGAGGGCAAAGAGGCTGCCAGCACCCAGGAACCTGCATGGATATTCCTGCCTTTAGGCTGTGGCGGAGGTGTCCCCAGCTGACCTAAGATTGGGTTTTCCCCTGTGGCTTCTGTAGGACCTACTCCCCTCCCTGACAGGTGTACTGCAGCTCAGTGGAAGCTGGTGCCCGCACCGGAGTTTTTCTTTAAGCAGTGTTTCCTTTATCTCCCAGAAAAAGGCCCAGAGGACTTGAATGAGGCAGAAGCCCTCAGGTCTCACTCCTGTCAGAAGCAAGTGAGCCTCGGCAACCTTTGTGGACTTCAGAATTTACCTTAAAGACTGAGAGCAACAGAAACCATTGGACGAAAACCTACAGTCTCTTCTGCCTGCATAACTCTGGCCAAATCCACCTGAAATTAGACAGCAGGCTCATTCACCCAGACTCTGAGCTGTCTGATCCCACTGCCTGTGGTCTTGAGAGATGAAGTGTGTGCAATCTGTCAAGAGCCTCACAACCAAGACCCCCTGTCCCTACAGGAAGTCCAGGCCTGGGCCTCCAGAAAACCTGGCAGCCAGAGACCCTATGGGCTCAAGGAGAAGTACAGTCAGAGGAGTTTCAGAGAGTTTCAGAGAGCTCAAGGAATGAGGGCTCCTGGAGGCTTCAGAACAGCCACGAAGAGGCCTTCCTCCAACACTGATGGCTGGCACAGGAGCAGAGACAGCAAAGAGATGGGGAAGAGGTGACAAACATCCCATAACACCTGCAACAAACCTACAAGGAACCCCCCACCCCATTCCCTTAGCTACCAGCCCACCCTACTGCTCCCCTACACAGCAAAACCCTGGGCAAGAACCCATTCTGCATGCTGGCTGCACCCCCGCCCCCACCTCTCTCTTTTGAATTCTCCTCCCACCCGCCAACTGCCACTGCCAACAACTTGGAGAGTCCAGTCCTCAGCTCAGGCCTGGGCCCCATGCACCTGACCACATGACAGCACCTCGCCAGGCTGCCAGTACCCTCCACGAGCAAGTGTGTGGGCTTGTGGCCCAGGCCTCTGTCCTCTCCACTCACTGGCAGCACCGACCCAGGCCTCAGAGGGCCCCTCCTGCATGCATGGGGGACCCCAGCTCCCCAGCTATGTGCCTCTGTGGCTGCCAGTCTGCCAACCCCTCTCCAATCGGACCTGCATGCTGCCGACTCTGTGGCGCTCTGGGCAGCCACCCGGCAGCCAACACGGCAGGCACCAAACACCAATGCCGTGTCCCCCAAGCCTGGCCTCTCCCCCAGTCTCTTCCCACTCAACTGCAGCGCCCTATGGGCCCAGGCCCCAAGGCCCCACACCCAGGAACCACCTTGATGCCATTCTCCATCACCTAGTTCACTCACAGGAACCCTCACTTGTAGCAGCCAGACTCAGAGCAAAGAGCCGGCCTGGTCAAAACCCTCCCACGCTCCCTGCCTCACTTAGAAGAAAGTTCAACATTCTTGCCAGGCCTCCAAGGCTCCAGCCGTTTGGCCCCTGCCCCACCCACGTGTGCTCCTGCCCCTCTCCCTCCGTCCAGGTGTCTGGCCGGCACTGTCCCTCACGGCACTGAGCTCACACAGCAGCCCGCTCCAACACTCCCTCACTGGTGCCCGTCCCTTGGTCGGCTCTGCGGGTCCTGATCTTTGGTGTGCACCTGACGCCTCCACAGACACAGCTGCACGGGGACAGGCCGTTCACCTCAGTCACCAGCACATTCCCACTACCTGGCACTCACTGAGGACTTCTCAAGAAATAAAAGAACAAATTGAGCTGACAGATGAAAGAGCCAGAAAATGGTGTTATAAAGGGAAGAAGATAGAGCAAAGTTTTAACCAGAAAAATCTATGGATGAAGAGGAGAGACAGGGAGGGGAGGGAAAGCTTGAGGAGGTGGGAGGATCTGGCCCCTCCCAGGCGGGACGGGGAAGCCAAGCCCCACACCGGACCACAGACCAGCTCTGCAGGTGGTGGGGTGAGGAGAGGGGGCTCCAGAGACCCGAAGACAGGAGGAAAAGGACAGAGGCAGAGACTAAGGCCTAAACCTGGACCAGCCCTGAGATGACTCCATTTGAAAGCCCAACCTGTCAGTCGGCCCAGCAGGAGCCAAGAACATCTGGGAACAAGGGCAGAGGCACCAGGCAGACAGAAGCTGAGCTAGCCTTGGTTTGGAAGGACTGCAGGAGGCTGGGGGGTGAGAAGAAACCAGCTGGCCTGGCCAAGTAACGGGCAGGCCCACAGATAAATGGGATGACACAATCGTGTGGCCCATCCTGACAGCCCCACTGTCCCACCTCAATGAGGCCTAGGCAAAAGTAAAAGAGAAAAGAGAACGCTCCAGGGTCAGAGGAGAAGTCAGGGAGCATGAGAGGCCCTCAAATCAAGCAACCAGGCTCTGCTGGAGCAGCAGCTGGAGGAGCATTCGACACAGCCCTGGAGAGCCAGAGGCACTGGGGGATCAGAGATACCCATAGGCAGAGATTGCAGACTCGGGTGATGCCATGAGAAGGGCAGGAGGGAGGCCAGAGGGCCCAGGAGAGGACAGTACCCTGGGTACAGGGAGAAAGGATTTGGGCTCCTGTGGGTCCCTCCATGGACTTCTCACCTGGGGCCTAAGCTTGGTGAAGATGCTCCTTCCAACCGGACCCTGCATCCAGGCCAAAGAGGGCGAGAGGGGCCTGCCTTCCAGGAGCCCCAGACACCCAAGGTCAGCACTCCTCTCTCACTTCCCTGCTCTGAGTGCAGGACTGGACACCTGATAGATACTCCAGAGATGCCAGTTAGAGGATAAGGGAATGCCTCTGAAAAATGTTTAGCAACCACGGGGCTAAAATCATAACAATCCTTCAGATATGATGCTTATCAATAAAAAACCTCAAACCCATTTGTGATCTCCCTTGATGTTCTACGACTACTTCAGTGAATATCAACTCTAGAGGTTCCCAAAACAAAGTCAGGTGAATTCATCTGTATTTAGAATATGCCACCACGTTCCTTTCCAGGAAAGGGGCACTTGTGAAAACAAATAACGGGGTCGTGATTCCAAAATGATAAGCGGTCAGTAGTGTGATTTCAGAAGGCTTTGACTGTTCAAAGGATACACAGCTTTTCATCATCCTGAAACGTGAAGTAAAGTTTAACAAAGAAGGGGTGATCCAGGCGCGACATCACATCTCTTTCTCTGGTTACATATGGGACCTTGTTCTCTTTGATAATGTGACGTTTCTCTAGAATTTTAACTTAAGGTAAGAGAGAAGCAAGTTACTACAATTGGAAATGGCAAGAAAAATACTAAAGGTAATTCATAAAGGTTAACTGGTATAAATTAAAGTTTTCCATTAAACACACCCACTGGTTAATTATGGTCTCTAAGACCAACAGTGTCCTATCCCTTGAAATCAGCACAGAAACCTCCAGGCACCAGGCAGCCAGGTGGCAGCAAGCCTGCAAGTACACTATCCCTGCATCCCAGATGCACAGCTTACTGCAGTTAGTACTTACTAGCATATTCCCTTGAGGTTGCCAGTTCTCGGGCCAGAACAACCTGGTTTGGGAAGAGAAGGGGGAAAGAGAAGAGAAAAAACATCCACTGTGACCAGGGCATTGAGTCTCACAGGTCACCATGCAACCAACCACACAAGTGGTGCCCTGCCCCCACCATGACTTTAGGGGTAAATACCTGAAATCACATTAACGTATTCCGGTCCTGTGCTAACAAGTATCGCTGCATGTCAATGACTGAGTTAATGTGTTCTAACAGTTAACAGCGAACACATGTATCTCTTGGCTGTTTTCAGAAGGTTCTTGGTCAGCTGCCAAGTCGCCATGGTGAAGCACACACATTCAGGAATATCCTGGGCTGGTGCAATGGTCACGCACAGAAGGAAGATGCAGCAAATAATACCTACACAAGTGGGCCCTCAGAATTTCTTCAAAAACCAGTTTCTAGAATATGTCCTCAGTATGTGCTAATTACAAAAGCTGCCCTGAATTTGGACTTTACAAACACAGGCACCCCTTGTTTTACTGTGCTTTGCTTACCTACACTTTGCAGACACTGCGCTTTTTACAAACTGAAGGTGTGCCAACCTTGTGTGGAGCAAGTCTATAGGCAACATTTTTCCAAAATCATCTGTTCACTTCATGTCTCTGTGTCACCTTTGGTAATTCTCAAATATTTCAAACTTCTTCATCACGATTATATTTGTTAAGGTGTCTGTGATCAGTGATCTTTGATGTTATAATAATTATTTGGGGGCACCGTGAACCACGCCCATATAAGACAGCGAGCTAACCGGTAAATACGTGTTCTGCCTCACTGACCAGCCTCCTCCAGTCTCTCTCCCTCTCCTTGGGCCTCCCTATTCCCTGGGACACAACACTGAAATCAGGACAGTCAATAACCCTGCAAAGGCCTCTAAGTGTCCTTCACCGAATGAGTCGTGCATCTCTTGCCCTAAATCAAAAGCTAGAGATGAGCGAGCTCGGTGCGGACGGTGCGCCGCAAGCGGAGACAGGCTGCTTGCCCCACTGAGCCGACCAAAGTTCTTGAAGGAGATGAAACTGCTGCTCCCGCGAACACACGGATGATGAGAGAGCAAAACAGCCGCGTTGCTGACGTGGAGGAAGCATGAGTGGTCTGGACAGAGGATCAAACCAGCCACAACAGTCCTTAAGCCAACGCCTGACCCCGAGCAAGGGCCTGACTCTCTTCAATTCCACGAGGGCTGAGGGGGAGGAAGCTGCAGAAGGAGTCTGACGCCAGCAGAGGCTGGCTCCTGAGGTTTAAGGAAAGAAGCCGTCTCCGTGACAGAGGAGCGCAAGGTGAACAGCAGGTGCTGATGGAGAGGCTGCAGCTCAGATCACTAACGAAGGTGCTGAGCTCGACAGCCTCTCGGTGTAGACGAAAGCAGCCCTCTACTGGAAGAGGCCATCTAGGACTTTCACAGCTGCAGAGGAGGCGTCAGTGCCTGGCTTCAAAGCGTCAAAGGACAGGCTGACTCCCTCGCGAGCGGCTAAGGCAGCTGGTGAATGCTCACTGACCATTCTGAAGATCCCAGGACCCTTGATAATTATGCTCGGTCCGCTCTGCCTGCGCTCTATACATGGAACAGCGAAGCCTGGATGGCAGCACATCTGGTTACAGCGTGGTTCACTGAGTATTTTAAGCCACTGTTGAGACCGACTGCTCAGGACAGAGGACTGCTCACTGACAATGCACCCGGTCACCCAGGAGCTCTGCTGGAGACCAGCAGTGAGATTCATGCTGTTTCCATGCCTGCAGCCCGTGGACCCAGGGGTCATTCGAGTGATGCATGAAATGTCCCTGTTGTCTTACTTGAAGAAACTGCCACGGCCACCCCAGCCTGCAGTCACCACCGCCCTGATCAGTCAGCAGCCATCAACATGGAGGCAAAATTCTCCACCAGCTAGAAGGTCACGACTCGCCTAAAGCTCAGGTGATGGGGAACATTTATAATAATGCAGTGTTTTTAATTAAGGTACATACATTGTTTTTTCAGACATATAAAGACTACTGTCTAGTGTAAACTTAACTTTCATATGTTCTGGGAAACCAAAAAATTCCTGTGACACACTGTACTATGATACTCACTTAATGGTGGTGCTCTGGGACCAAACCCACAGTGTCTCCAGGATGGGCCTGTGACTTAATTTCACTTGATGCCACTGAGGTATCATCAGCACTGTCCCAGCCATCGAGGGGCACACGAAAGTAAACCATGGCTCAGAGAGTGCTGCCTCCCTCACAGGATGCAGTCACGCTCCTACTGTGCCTTCTCTGCAGCACACCCGAGTCCTGTGTTCAAAACCCACTTTGGAGACAGAGTGCCAGTGGGGTATTGCACAACACAGGAAAGGCCTTTCTACACAAGCAAATGCTGGGCATACCTGAGCACCAATTTGCAAATGTATGACAGCCAGCTGAGTGGCATGGGGGTGCCCCCACCACTGCCCGCTGGTGCAAGCATCCCCCCTAAGTCACCTTCCAAAGGGAGGGACAGCCAGAGAACCAGAGAGCAGATGAAATCCTGCCTGACCCCTGGGAAATCCCCAGGCCTCGGGAGGCCTCTGGCCCACGGTTGGGGGTTACCTTCCATTATGGAATTCTTCTCCAGACCCCTCAGGAGTGACCCTAGAGGAGCTTGCTGTGAAGCACTCGCAGGTACTAGGAGCAAGGCTACCCTCCACGTACTCAAGTGGACAGCTCTGCAAGCCTTCCAGAGAGGCGCAAGCCCGGGCAGTGAGGGGAGTGAGCTAGGGAAGGACTCCCCTTTTTCGGTCATATATTTATGCAATATTAAATTTCTTCACAGGAACACATACTAGCTATCTAAGTAGTAAAAAGGAGGAAAAAGTTGTTAGGGAGTACTAACATTAGTGGGATCCTTCCTGAAGGAGGCATGTATATATTCTGCCTGCTGTGGGAATTCAGCAGTTCGTGTGCTGGCTTCCTCAGGTGTGCGTCCCTCCACATCACCCAGGCTAATGGCAGGACTGCCCCAGGTGTCATGATCTTCCTCAGGGAGCCAGACGGCAGCAGGCCAGGTCTCCCAGCTCCCCAGCACTACACTCTGCCAAGGGACGATCCTGCCCAGCCTGGGAAGTCACTTGTCCCCCTCTCCTCCCCTGGACTAATTTTAAGAGGTCTCTATTTCAGGAGGCACATAAAATTCATGAGCCAGGGCTGCAGGATCCCAAATCCCACCAGGAAGGCACCTCCGGCTCATGGGGCTGCTTTGCCCAGGCACCTTCCAGCACAGGGGTTCCACAAGCACAGGGGTGACATGAAGTATAGGGGGAACTTTACAACATCAGAAGTATGTCACCCAGAAGATATGGTGTCTACTTTTACCCACCATGGAAACCCAAGAACATGGGAGAACTTCACAAACACGTCTTCACCTTCCAGTCAAGATAAATGTCCAGTGAAGTATGCTGGGAGAGGTGAGAACTCCTCTTCTACTGGACTCTAAGTAACCCTGCCAGCTCTTTTCAAAAGATTTCTTTTTTCTGAAAGGATCTGTGAGTACAGAACCACTGGGGCTATCCTCAGAGTTGATGGTTTTTACATGAGAGCATAACTTTTTCATAATTTAAACGAAAACTGCCAATAAAAAAATCTAAAGGTTCAAGGGAGCAAACATTCTCATTGGTTAAAATGACTAGGGGCGCGCGGGTGAGCTTTATTTCATGTTCCTCTTCGTGTTCTGAAATCTTTCACAGATGTCAGAAGAGAAAAGGGAAACAAATTTCCCAGAAGGTTCCTTCACAAAGGCCAGCCAAGAAAGACCTCCCAGCGTGAGGAGCCTGCAAGGCCACCTGGAGCATCTGCAGTGCACACTGGCCCAGGGCGGAGCACACAGAGGCAGAAGTCCGTGTTTCTGTGATGGCGCAGATTTGGACTGGGCACCCCGGCCGAAGGCAGGTCCTTGGCCGCCCCTGCGCCTACAGCCAGACTCTGGCCCCGCCGTGGCCACATGGGGCTTCCGCCTCAGTAAAGCAGCTGCTCTGGGCCTTCATTTCCTTGCTTTAAGAGGGAAAATATCACAAGACAGGTAAAATGTGATCAGAAGAACAGCAGTTACCCTCAGTGTGACCTGACAGTGCTGTGATAATATTTGTTGATGAAACTGAGGACCCTAGCATCTGGGGGCCAGCAGGTCTTGGGTGCAACTCTAGTAAATGTCGAGGCTGTGCTGTTTTATTAACTTCTAAAAACTAACAGAGAGGAAAAAAATAGAAAAAATAAAAAATAACAGAAAAACAATAATGTTTTTAAATATTTCCCTAAAACTGAAGAGATATTAATACCAATACTAACTTTCAACCTAAGGTACAGAAAAGCTTCCCAGTACCTTGCTAATGGGATACAACAGCCAGGAATTTAACTTCCTGATGCCTGGTTAGAATAAAGATCAACTGCATTTTTTTAAATTTAAAAATGAGATCAAGAGACACCTTTTAAAGCTTTCATCCAGAAGATCATGGCTTAGACATTTTAACCACGTGATCTGCTTGGTGGTAACAAGCCCCAACTCGCCCTCACAATGGGAGGAACGAGGGGCCTGAGACCCTCCGCTGGGGAAGACCACCACCCTGGTCCAGCTCCAAGCCTTGACCAAAGTCAGCCTTCCCAAGGAAAGCACATACAACAGCGGCATGTACTCACTGTTGAGAAAGAGCCTTCACCAAGAATTTTCCCAAATTTGAAGTCTTCAGGCCGTTTCTTTCGAGGCTGTGGCAGAGGCTGTGTGGTGTGCTGCCGGGAGTTGGTGCTCGGACGGGCCTCGGCCGCGGTGCTGTCCATGGTGGGGCCCTGCCTGCTGCCACCGCTGGGGATGCCGGGGGCCGGGCCGGACTCTGTCTGGGTCCTCACCATGGATGGGGATGGACAGGCACATAACACCACGCTGGACTGAATAGGAACGGTGTCATACTGGTGACACAGGAAAAAGAGGTAAGATTTAAAGTAGCTTACACTCCTAACTGTTCGTCAACTAGTGTTGACCTTGTTGAAACACAAACACCAAGCACATGGCAGGCCGTCTGACATTCTGCCTCACAGCTCAGGCAGCTGCCTCCTCTCATCCCAGCCCACCCTGTCCTCCATGCCCACCACCCCACTGACCATCACTCATCTGCCCTCCCCTCTTCCCTCAGCACTGCGTGGTTCTCCAATACCCCCCTACCGTGACCAGTTGGTCTTCCCATCACTGCCCGGCCGCCTGAACACCACGTGTACCAACCCCTGTCCACAGAGGAAACCAGTCCAAACCCTGTAATCATGATGTCTCCTGGCCCAGAAGCCCTCCCTTGCTTACCTACCACCACCTGACATAAAGCTGGACTCACAGAGGTATTCAGTGAAAGCCTGAAGGAAGAGACTGGCTTGAGAGTACATCCCCCTCCTAAAGAGAACTTTCACCTGGCAGTTCTGGAACACAGGCATATACTTTAATGGAAGGAAGAGTCCAAGAACTGCTGACTACACATAAAAGTTACAGCTGTTTAAAAACATGCTTCTCAAAACAGATAGCAGTGGAATGGTTGGTTAGCAATTTGGAAAATAACTGATTTTGAACCAAACTGCTCACTACACACCGAAGTTACTTCCAAACCAACTAAGAGCTATAGGTTTTTAGTTATTTAAACAAATTAAAAAATTTAACAAATCTAAAAATTATTCAATACAACCCTATTAAAATCCCAGCCAGCTTCTTTGCAGAAACCAATATGCTAAGTTTAAAATTAATATGGAAAATTGAAGAGATGCAGAATAGCCAAACAATCTCAGGAAAAAGGACCAAGCTGAAAGACTCACACTACTTGATTTCAAAACTTACTACAAAGCTGCTGTAATCAAAACAATTCGGTACTAGAGACAGACGCAGAGATGCTTGGAACAGAGTCCAGAAATAAACCCTCAAATGTATGGCCAACTGGTTTTTTACAAGAATGCCAAGACTCTTCAACGGGGAAGAACAGTCTTTCAACAGATGTTGCTGGGACAACTGGAAATTCACATGCAAAAGAATCAATCAACTCAGATGCCTTTCCCACATCACATACAAAATTTAATTCAAACAGATCACAGATATATGTACATGTAAGAACTAAAACTATAAACCTCTTAAAAGGAAAATAGGAGTAAATCTTCATGACTTTGGCAATGGTTTCTTAGATATGAAACCAAAAGCAGAAGCAACCAAAGGGTGAGGGACTATTAAAGTGACTTAATCAAAATTTAAAACTTGTGCTTCAAAGGTACTGCCATCAAGAAGTGAAGAGACAACCTATAGAATGGGTGATCATGTATCTGACGTTCATTGTATCCAGACTACATAAAGAAGTCTTACATCTCAACACACACACAATTAAAAATGTGCCAGGGATATGAATAAACATTTCTCCAGGAAAGACATGCAAGTGGCCAAGACACTGTTAGTTGTTATGGAAATGCAAATCAAAGCCACAGTGAGATCCCAGGTCAATCCACGAGGAAGGCTGGAATGAAAGGGCCAATGGTAATAAGTCCTGGTGGGAATGCAGAGGAACTGGGGTCCTTACACTTTGCTGGGAATGTAAAATGATGCCCCACTTTGGCCAACAGTCTGACAGTTCCTCAGATGGAAACAGGTACCACATAACCCAGCAATTCCACTCCTAGGTATACACCCCAAGAGAAACAAAACCACATCCACACAAAAGTTGTACATGGATGTTCACAGCAGCATTACTGATAGTAGCCAAAGGTGGAAATGGCCCAAATGTCCATCAGTGGATAAATGAATAAACCAAAGACCCATAAAATGGAGCATTATTCAGCCATAAAAAGGAGGAAATACATATGCTACAACATAAATGAACATGGAAAACACGATGCTACATGAAAAAGGACAGACACAAAAGCCCCCATTTACAGGAAATATTTTGAACAGGCGAATACACAGAGACAGAAAGCAGATGAGCGGCTGTCAGGGGCTGGGGGGCTAGGGGAGGGAGAGTGGGGAGTGAGTGCTCCTGGGTCTGGAGATTCTGTGAGGAATGAAGATGTTCTAGAACTGGATGGTGGTGATGGCTGCACAACCTTGTGAATGTACTAAAACCACTAGAATTATACATATTGAATTGTATTGTGAATTGTATGATAAATGAATCCTATCCAATAAGCTGCTGTAAAAGATTAGCCCTATCACATATAACATACAGTTCAGATGAAAGAACTCATTCGGATCCATAAATCAAGACCTTTAAGGAAGACATGGACAAAGGATACAGGCACTAAAGACCTAAGCAACCAAGAGATGGAAATGTACATAGTGTTCAAAGTGGTTGAAGCCCCCAGAGAGAGCACTGTTCACTTTTAATTACAGGGGAGGCTGAGGGGTGAACAAATAGGTAAGAGTGATAACCAAACCCGCTTACAGCAGGCAGATGCCAAAGGCCCAAAAGGCTCTGATGAAAACGGCGCCACCACCCACTGCGGCTGGTGCCCTAAACCCATGTTGCTGTTAGAACGTTTTTGGAAAGCAATCTGGTAATCTGTCAACAACCCAACAACAGGACAGTTGTCAATGAGACACACAGAAACACTGCAGAGAAGTGGGTAGAAATACAGTTAAGAACTTAGGTGGGCATTAGAAAAAGACTGACAGTGTCCGAGTTCAATCAGGAACACATAAAAGTTGTACCCACAACCACACAAAAAAATCTCTTTTCCAGCTCTGTCCCTGAATTGTTCGAGCAGTAATTTCATTAGCCTACCAACCACCAGATTGTGAACTCAGGGCACCCAGATTTGTTTCTAACAGTTCCCCCCCATTAAAAGAACCCAGGAGAACAGAAAAAAATACAATCAATATGGTCCTAATCCTTTGCTATGTCTGAAAAGGAGGTGGCCTTTACAACTGTCTCTGGTAGGAGGAAAAGGCAAGGAAGCTGGCCTGGAAAAACCATCAATAAACACAGCTAATCAGAAGAGGCTGAAACTGGGAAAAATCATGAGTCTGTAGTGATACACACAGGTTATAAAGTTACCAAATTGTAACATAAAAGCAGGTTGAATACAAGTGAACACTTAATTGTATACAGCTGAATAACTAAGGGAGTATGGCCATACAGAAATCTGTTTCTTGCACTGTGTATGTCTGTTCATAAAGGATAGACAAACTTTCTCCCTCCATTTGAATAGAGAAGGGATACACAGAACTACAAATAAGCTGAAGTCCTGCAGAAAGTGCACTAAGAACAGGAAAGACAGGTGGGCACTCAGGAACCAGCCACTGCAGCAGGTGACAGCTCAGCCACCATGAGAAGAGCTAACAGAGACACTCATCTTGAGATATGCAAAAAATCTAGACAGAATATCCTGTGACCCAAACATGATGAGGCTGGAGGTGGGAAGGAAGGCAGCAGATGGCAAGAACAGGCAAGAGCCTGGACGGTCCATGCAATGCCATTTACACCTTGGTCGCACTTGCGGGTCAGCCCCAGGAAGGCTGGCTCAGGGAGGACACCCCAGAAGACCCAGCACATCCCAGCCTGCAGCCAGCGGGCCTTCATCACCTGCAGGGCTGCACTTGCCACTGCCCCATGAAGGGAGGTTTCTTTTCACTGTAACTCCAGGCAAGGTACATAAGCATGAAGGAATTAGCCAAGCACACAAAATCAATGAAATATGAGAATATGACTACTTGACTTTATAAAAAATATCCAAGAGAACCTGATTTTTTAAACATGACACAAAGGGCAAATGTGACCAGTGGTGTCGGCCCTCCAGCTGGGCTGGGAGTCCGAAGACCACCATTTATTCATGGAGAACTGCTGTCTTCTTGAGCGCTCTGTGGCTTGGAAGTAAGCCAAGTGTGCCACAGACATTTCATAAACACTCCATCTCACGAGAGGCACCTAGGGTTGGACCAAGTTCTGGGGTTTAATCACCACCTTAATTATTTTTCCCTACAAATAAGGCATACAATCATAACACAATTATCAAATTCAGTAACCTCTCTTGAAGAGTGGCAGGAACTTTCTATCCTTGGGCAGCGGTGAGTGAGAAGAGGTCACAGTCGCCAGGCTGAGGCCCATCAGGAACAGTGAAAGGCCTGGATTGGCCTCACCAGAGACCCAGAGTGCACTGTGCACCTCACGGGCTCCAGGACACGGCCAGGCCAAGTGCGGACGGACCCTCAGGCCCTGGGATTGAGGGGCTGCAGGACTGTGTGACCTGTAGGGACACACAGGAGGGAAGTGGAAGGAGCCAGCACTTCAAACAGCGCAGTCCAGGGCACTACAGCACTGCCATGAACTGAACTGGACAAGAGCAGTGTCACTGGCCCCTGACCCGGTGGGGTGGGGGGGTCACCACCAGCGTTGGCCATGCTCTGCCCCACCCACTATGTAAATCAGGTCAGCACAGGCCTGTTTACGGGCCCGCCCAAGTTCACCCATACACCCAGCCTCCTAAAAAGCAAGGAGACAATGGAAGAGACGCATGGGGCAGTGGCAAACTTTGCCTTTAATTCAAAACTGACAAATGACCTGAGGAGTAAATTCCCAAACATTACAATTTAAGTAACAAAATGTGATGAGGTGATTCATGGACATGGAAGAATGTAACTGTACATCAACATGCTCCAGGCCCAGTGGCCATCCTAGCAAAGGCACAGGCCTATCGGTCCTATGGAGGTTGGGGTGCAGCAGGGGACAGCCCATTGCTTCTCCACAGTGGGCACAACTGCAGCTCGGCGAGGTGCTACAAGCGACACCGAAGAGCAGTGAGGGGTTTCTCACAGGGTCAGCCCTGATGGCTGAGGAGGCACAGCATCGGTGGCCACAGGAAGCAAGGGGCACTGAAGACCTGAGCGTTAACAACCTCCATTACATCGGCGAGCGAACACAGGCCAGGCATGCCTAACATGCAAGGAGGGCTCAGAT